ATTAGAATGTGTTCGAGTGAAATCTCACACTCTAGGATTGATTTTAAATCGGCTAGTGTGTGGTCTCTCTCTCACACACGTTTTCAGAATCGGACGACTTTTCTAAAATCGTATAGTGTGAATTGGGCTTAAGTGTGTGAAGGCCGGAAGAGTTTATAAAACAAAATTTAATGTCATTTTCAGATCTGATTTAGTCTTTATAGAATGCAACCATTTGAGCAATTGTTCATGTAATTTTATGCTTCTGTGTTTCGGTTTTATTTTATTGCGAAATCTTTAAACATAGCAGAAGTAAAATAACTCTAAACTCAGTGAAACATCAACAAAAGTTAATATTTGAGCCTAAATGGTTACCTGATCAGCAAACAGCATTTAATAGGAAAAATAATTAGATGCTTTTATAAATTTCAGGGGACCTCCATGGAAAACAAACTCTTCATATTTTAAAGAAATATTGACATCCTGAAGTCTGTTAACTTTGGCTTTTGTACGATAGACCTCAAGCTACAAGTACAGGTTTGAGCCACTAGATGGCAGAAGAGCTTAGATGCAACTATAAACCAGCTCCTTAAAATTAGCTCCTCACACAGTCCCTTATTTAAAAGTTGCAAATATGTCAAGGGAGATATTAAATCTGTTTATTATACATTGTTCAGTGTCCATTAATGTTGGTAAAATAAATAAATAAACAAAACAAAGAAGACAAAGTCTGACTATTTACAAATATAAAAGGTATATGAAGCAATTAATTTATAATTTGTATTTATATGCATTTAAAAAAGCAGAAGTGGTGACTAGAGTAACTCTAACCGAGAATGCTAAAATAAAAGCAGAGCATACACAAACACACAAACATATTTATAGCATTAAAACTGAGATGCCTCAGTGTTGATTTGTTCACTTCTTTTTTTTTTTTTCGCTTTTTCGTTTTTGCTTTTGTGATGCAACTGCAAGTCACAAACACACTAATTTCTAAAGAAGAATGAAGCCAAATGGGATCTTAACAGACAGCTCACAGTGAGCCACTGTGTCCAGTGTTTTCAATTTATAATCACATGTCTCTAAAACAAGCACAGAAAAAAAAAATCTGAAAACAGTCTCCTGCTTACACAGAGCACCAAGAACGATCTGTTACAGTTAAAGAGTTACGTTACTGTATTTTACATTAGTATTAATTCCTCCTGAATGTTGTCGAGATCTGGATGAGTTTAGAGAAAGAGGATAAGAGTTTTGGAAATTGGAAGTCCAAACTTTATTCCCCGTTGCATTGGCTGTATTTCTGTTCTTTTGCTCAATCATTTCATCCACAATATCTTCCTTATATTTGCATTTTTTGAGTGTTGCCTGATGTTCTTCCTTTGATTGTTGGGTCCTTCCTTTCTCCCAACTTTATTTGCAAAAACACCTCATTTTTATTTTTGTGCACCAAACCTTAAAAAAGTTGGCTTATATTGACAAAATAATATTGTTAAAAGTTGAGTCATATTGGATGAAGAGGAGCTATGAAAATCAATTTTTAAGTCTTGGCACAGATTCTGACCTTGGCTCTTTTTGTTGTTTTTGTTTTTCAATTTTGCAGTTGTGGCTCTTGTTGAAAATTTGGGCTTGTTGTCCCGCTGGAAAGTGAACCTCACCCCAATCTCAACTCTTCTGCAGCTTCTATCAAGTTTTTTCCAGTATTTCCCTGAGTTAGCTCTGTCAGCTTCCAAAGGCAGAGATTATTGCAAGTCCTAAAAGTTGTAGATTATCTTGCAAAAGGACCAAAGTTTGTTATGTCGAGAAGTTAGAGCACAGAAATATTCATAGCAAAGTCTATAATGTTATAATTTATGCATGTAAAAACTTCAAGTGAGGGACAATCATGATTTAAGCATGACATTTAGTTTCATAATAGTAACGATTTAGAGGAATCCACAAATTCTGGATATGGATATTCCTAAATAATAAAAAAAAAACAAATAGTGAACTCCAATTGAAAGAGGTACATTTAATTAAATGGTGTACCGGTATTCCTTTATTGACTTTAAAACACACTACACTATATAATTCAGTGGTGTTGAAAAAAAAAAAACATCTGCGAAACAAGAAAAGTAAAGGAGGAGTGGCTGGAGTTAAGAGGAGTGTTCATGCAGGCAAGGATTCAGGGTGCGGTGATGTATAAAGCATCATTCGGAGCCATTTCTGTATCCCTGCAGCTCATAAAACACTCACCGTCACGTTCAAATCTTCTGCCATCTCAACCTGGGTGAGTAAAAAACCTTAGGGATTTTCTTTATCTGGCTTTTATTTTCAGTATTTACTTTAAATGTATTTCAAATAATATATCTGAAACTTAAAGCTTAGCAAACAAAAATATTTTTTTGGTTTGTTAAATTTAAATATTTTGGGGTTTTGTTATGTTTGTTTGTTTGCTTTAATTTAGAAATGGTCATGGTTCAGTCTAATCTTTATGGTTTGTGTCAGATCTTACTTTTCTGCACAATTTTGAACAAAACTAAAAATTAGTTTTGCAATGAAAAAACTGAGTTCCTACATCTTGTTTATGCTCTACAGGCTACATTTACTGTACTACACAGCCATTCAGAACAACATTTAATTTTTCTATATTACACAGATATACACAGATTTACATTCAAATAACAAACAACAAGCAGAAGAAATGGAAAAATCTGCACTGGTTTTGTGTCCTTTTCCTTCCCAATTCCCATCAGCTTACAAACCCTCTGATGGCAGAGTTTCCTCTGCTAACCATGCTCCAGGGAGGAGACACAATGCAACCACAGCTGGTTCAGCAAAACCTTTACAGACCTGCAATGGAACAAAAATCAAACAATAAAAACATCATCAAGCATCAATAATATGCAAGGTTCTTTATTTGTCAACATGTTCAGGTCAGGTTAGTCTGCAGAGATGGAGCTGTTACCATATCAACGACCCCATGTCACTCTGTTGTGTTAGAGACCAGCGTGACATAAGAGTGGAGGGGCCCAGGTGGAAACCCAGGGTGTATTTTTATCCAGCTCCATGGAAAAGCAAAAAGGAAAAACACAGTCAGTGAAAAACATAATGATACCAATCACCAGCTCAGCTCATGTGCATTTCATTTCATTATTTTACAGATTATATCGATGCTTGCCTTGCGGTCTCAAACTGTGGAGTGAGAGTAAAATAAGATTCCAACAAATGTATCACTGTTCAGTTACTCACACTCTGCACTATTTTTTTCTTCTATTTTTTACATTCTCTCTTTACTTTTATCAAAAACTAGCTGCCATCATGTCTGACGTCCAGAAGGCCATGGCCCTCCTCATCACCACCTTCACTAAATACGCCAGCATAGAGGGTGACAAGCACACCCTGAATAAGGAGGAGCTGAAGGAGCTTCTGCAGAATGAATTTGGAGACCTGCTGTGTGTAAGTGACCCCACGATCCACTGTTACACTGCCTTGTAAAAATGTCCATAACCTTTGAAATTTTCCATATTTCTTCACGTTACCATCACACGCTTCAGTGTATTGTACTTATTATGGAGCAGAAGATAAAAGACACATGGTTTTCACATTTTTTTATAGATAAAATAAGAAGGCATCCCAGATACACATAGCGGCTGCATCACATCTCCTTCCCAGCAGCTGTTAGTTTGTAAAAATCACTGCTCCCAACAAACTCAATGAAAGTTGACATAGATATTCTGTTGTTTTTATGCACATTATGTGGAAAAAAAGGGATGACTTCACCTTCTTGCAGGAGAAAGACCCTAAAGATACAGCCAGAGCTACAATAGCCTGGCTTAGATCAAAGCAAATTCACATTCATACTTATGTGAAATTTGAAAATGTTTTTTTTAAAGGCTTTTTGTTCAAAATCATTGAGCTCAAATCAATCATAATGAATGACAAAATACATTTTTGCATTTTTGATGCATCATATAAAAATAATATATGTATGCAGTTGATGCCTAACTAAGCCTAAAGTAAATTTTAATCTCAAAATGTCCAAAATATTTGAGGTTGTAGACGTGGCAACTATTGGTTACGAAGGAGATGAATGGAAATACATGGTCTAATTTTCCGATTTTAATTTAATCAAGTGTTATTTTTCTTCAACTTCACAACAATGCAATACTTTTTGACAGCATATTGTAGAAAATACTGCTGCAAGGCACTCTCTGTGTATGTCTGTTCTGACAAACTGGCTAACATTAGATTACTACAATAACGTTTGAATTCAGAAATAGAGAGACACTTTGTTTTTTGACCGCAGAAAGCCAATGACCAGTCAGCAGTCGACCGCATCTTCAAGGACCTGGATACAAACAAGAGCAACAGCGTGGACTTCAGTGAGTTTGTCAACCTGGTCAGCTGCCTCACTCAGATGTGCCATGAGCACTTCATTGGGAAACAGTAGGAACTCAAGCGCCCCCTTGCGGCTGCCTGAAAGATCCGCCATTTGAAAAAAAGACAACCCTGAATTCACATGATTTTGTCATGTAAAAATAAAGTCTTTTTTTCTCTGAAATAGTCTATGTGGTGATTTTGCATTTTGCATCATGAATCTGAGAACTGCAGCGGCATTGGTGCCACTGTGGTTTTTCTGCACGCGCTGTGAGAGGAAGCTGCATGCATGCAAGGGGAGAAATTTAGAGGTGATGCAGGTAAATTAAGTAAAAGTTACAGTTTAAATTATTTATAAGTTCAATAATAAGTTGTTTTGAAATAAGATAATAATGGAATACTTAATTTTGATTGCTTATTTATCAAAAATGTTTTTTTTAATGATTCATTTATCTTTAAAATCACTTTTGGCCCTCCATAGTCGTGCAGCCTGTACATTATTATTTTGTGACGTCAGCTCAATGAAATTGTTGCGTTGATTTAACATAAAAGGTTTTTAATGCAGCTTTATCGCACGTTTTCTTTACTGTCTGGAACTGCAGAAGAACAGCAACAAACTGATGACGCTTCCGGTTGGTCACGTTGTGTTGCTGTGACTCGTGACGTCACCGAGGGGCGTGGCCTCGCCAACAGAGTCGGTCTGTTTGGAGCTAACGTAACTGAAGGCACAGAGCTCAAGTGTTGTTTTGAATTTGCTGGAAATCACCGACTGCAAAAAAAAAAAAAAAAAAAAAAAAAAAAAAAAAGAGGGGAGGGGGATTTAAGAGCCCGCAAAAAGAAGAAGATGGCGGATGTCGGAGGCGATGAAATTCGGCCGGCTCACCCGACGGCGTCCCGCTTCAACGGTCCAGCCGTCGGTCCGTCCGCGGGCCAGAGCGCAGCAACGGTAACGTCTGGTCCTCGGGTAGTGCGGATCGTCAAGTCGGAGTCTGGCTACGGTTTCAATGTTCGCGGTCAGGTCAGCGAAGGAGGGCAGCTTCGCAGCATCAACGGGGAGCTGTACGCTCCTCTTCAGCACGTCAGCGCGGTTCTACCCGGAGGTGCAGCAGACCGAGCGGGGATAGCGAAGGGTGACAGGATCCTTGAAGTGTAAGTCAGCGTCAACCCGTCCAATAAAAGCTACTGTGGCTAGCTCATTAGCCCATTTAGATGCAGTTTGAAGTATGTGTGACATTACTGTCCTTTTGTACTTGTAGCCATATAACAAAACCGGTTAAATATACATATATATTTGGCATTTGAGTTAAGCATTTTGTGAAGTAGCTCCAATGACCTAGCTAGGGAGTTAAACTGAATGCTAACCAGCTTACATAAGTTGGACAACAGGCTGTGCATGTTGATTAGCTGGCGCTAACTAGCAAGCCTGGTAGCTTCTGTTTTTAGCTAAACCGCTTGTGCAATGGATGTTCCAGCGCCTTAGAAAGGGTTTGATTAAAATAACAACCATGTTGACTCAGTATTGACTTGCATGGTAGGAGGATTTGTGTTTGGTGGTAGTTTTGTTCCTCAACATGGTGGTTTTAGAGCTAGCTGGCTTTAGGGGAAGCCTTCAACATCAGAATTGTTTACATCTTCAGACAGATGATGTTTTACCTGTTACTTTCAGATCTCACTGTTTGGGATCAGGGTTAACTTCCTAAAAAGTTATTATAGTTTTATCTAAGAGTTTATTTCTGAGAGCAGACGCTGATGGATAATAAATCACTCAATGAGTTTGTTTTTGTTTTGATTTATCTTTTAATGTACATGGCAGGATAGTAATCAAACATTTATTTGCTGCTAAGCATCCTGCATGTTTCCATAAGTATTTTTCACTCTTCGACTTATGCAATGAGGACTTCTAAACTAAAATATAAATCAAAATCCTGGGGAATAAACCATTTTGAACCAAACTATGCTTCTTACCTCAAAAGCTGGATCTTTTTTATTCCTTTGATAACTTAAAATATTGTCTCTGATTGCCATGTAATGAACTGGCGATCTATCCTTGTAACTTCATGTTTACCTGTTGTCTGTCTCCAACAGTCATTGGGTCAGAGGCGGGGTACACCCTGGACAGGTCGCTAGTCCATCATAAGGAAACGGGGACACACACTCAAATCTAGAAATGATTTAAGTGTATTCAATTAACACTAACAGTCATATTTTTTTCACTTTGGGAGGAAACCAGAGTACCCAGAGAGAACCCAGACATTCACAGGGAGAACATGCAAATTCTGTGCAAAAAGACTCCAGGTTGGCATTTAAATCCAGGACCTTATTGTGTCAAGGCAACAGTTCTAACCACTGTGTGAACAAGCAGCTCCGTTTCAGTCATTCTAAACAAGGTTTTATCAAAAAAGGGACTGACTCTTTTCTGATTTTTTTTTTTTTTACAATAAGCTGTAGCATTTTTTTTAATATAGAAAAATAAAAATGCAAACAATAATTTGCACCATAAAGTATTACATGGAAAAATAACAAATACAAATCTTAGGGCTGGATGCAATGTTATTTGCAACGTTTTGATTAATTAAACCACAGAGAATTCTAGAAGATGTAGGCAGAGGACTGGCGTTAGCTGCTTAACCTCTTACAGTAACCCAAGCATGGTGGGTGGCATCAATTAACTAACTAACTCACTCGCTCGTTGGTTACCTAGCAACAACCAGTTGAGCAACTTGTGCATCAGTGGTTTCAGGTTTGGCTACCGTGCCTCATAGCTGCGTAAAAATAAACAACGGTGTGGAGTGATAACTGTTGAAAAAGAGCAAATGTCACACCACCAGTTTGGCAGTACTTCAAATCTTTAAAACAACAAACTAATCAATAATTATTGACATTGATCGATGGGGAAATACTTACAACGTGATATGTTTTTCAGCCGTTTTATCCAACCCTATTAACAATCATGAAACATGCTAATAAAATTCTTATCTAATTGCTTTTATGTAATACAAGAAACAGTATGTCCTACTGCTGCTATGTCCTACTGCAGTAAAACTTATTTCTACAGTTGAAATAAAAAAATTTGTTTTCAATAAGACATAAACTCTCAAATTATTTTGTGATTATTACACCTGACCTTAAGCAAATCTAGCCATATTTTGCTTTCTGTAAACATATAGCATCTGCATAACAAGCTGAACTATTGGTTTTCCTTTGCATGTGTTAAAAGTGCAACTTACACCTTAGCAGACATGTTGCTTTTAGCTTGGTAACTGCACCAACACATAATTGATGGAGCTCCTTTAGTTTCAGTAAATGACTGTCAAAGTTTTTCACAGTTGGAAATAATCTCAAACAGCTGAATATGTGTTTATTGTGTGGTAAAAGTGTATCGGGTTTCTATTGTCCTGCTGAATGACAGACGATTTAAGTAAAATCACAGTAAAATTGGGAATAACTTAAAATGTAGAGATTTTGAAAATATACCAGTCACTAATCCATGCTTATTTGTTGACAAGAAGACTCATAATGTCAAATTTCACACTGTTCCCACAGGACTGTAACCTTGTGGGAATTGAATTGTGTGAAATTTTTATGGCTTACTCATAAGCAGCTTTTTTTCCCTAGTTGCACCTTGTTAGCTTTAAAATCAGCAGCAGGAGCAGAGACAAGTTGCTCATGCTGTAATGAACCTGATTTGAGTAAACAGGGACAAAAGGAAGAACAGAAACAGAAAAACAAGGAACCGTGGCCTGCTTCAACTTGCCGAGACACCAGAATGTGTGTTTCTCAACACAACCTCTCAGTTTTTCTGTCCTTTTAATCTCTGAAAGTCTCAGGTCACATGACAGGACCAACACTTATCATGTGGCATTTAAACTAGTTTGACCATTTTGAAAATCAGACAAGGATCATCTGATTAGGTATGACAACGTCATCACTGTTAAAGAAAAAAACAAACTTTAGGAAGCATTATGCTATTTCTTCTCGTTGACCATGACCTTGTTTTTCTTCTGTTTTTTTGTTACAGCCATTATGTGTCTGCATGCTATTTAAAGATCTTAGTAATCATCAGTGACTGACTGTATGCATTTTCTATTAATCTCTGACCATTTAGGATAATTACTTGTTGAGTTATTGCTGTTTTTATTTATATATTTTCTTGAATTGAAAAACGATTCCAACAAGTATAATGATGCAGTACAAGAAAGAGTTTACATGGACTGAAAATGTTCCGGTTTTAACTGCAATGATGACAAAAGGCATAAATAATTCATCAGGGGTTTTGGCCTGAACCCTGTTATTGCATCTAATTATAGTTTTACAGGAACAAACATTGCTCCAAAAATAAAGCACTTTATTTTCACTTCTGGCCTTTATTTCTTGGCTCACTATATTTATCAATTTAGTCAATATGGCTTGTATAATTTTATTTGTTTGTTTATTTATACATTGATGTGTAAATCAGTGTGCAGACTGATTTAGTCATGAGTTCATAAATCCTTATTACTCAAAGAATCGGGTTCTTGCAGGTTACATGTACATCTGTTGTGTTTCAACTTCAGCTAAAATGATGAAAAAGTAATATAATTTACAAAATGTTTTGAAACTTAATGGGTAGTCATATTAGGTTTTTCTGAATGAATTAACTTTTTTTTCTACAATCCAGCAGCCATATCTCCGTATAAAAATAATCACAATAGAAGACATACTACAAATTTAGTTTTCTGTCTGTATACCTATAATTTGACTCAAAATTTAGAAAATTAATACAGTCTGTTATTTTAGGTACTGTAGTAAGAGACCAGGTTTGTGTTAATCTGTCAGGTGCTGAACGAAAGCCTAAGTCGTTATAATAAATGACCAGCAATGATTGGTTATCAGTTGTGGTTAATGGTTGACCATTTGATTGGTCAACCATTACTTAATAAGTTAATATGACTGTGTTTTCCCTCCCATTGATATTCTTAGAATATCTGTCCGTCCTACACGGTTATACATATATTTATAAACAGAAACTGTTATGATAGATTTGTGCACTTTTTTTTTTATTCCCGCCCTGCATGGGTCCTGCTGGTTCTCAGTGGACGGTTAAGAGAGACACCTGATGCCGTCACCATCTGGTCTCATCAACGCCAAGAAGAGGGAGGCAAAAGGAAAGAAAAACAATGGAGCTGACCTGGCTCACTCTCATCTCTGTGTTAATCGGTGAAGGACAATGTGTTGTTCTTACACCACACTGTAGCCATTTAATACCCAGGAAACATAGTCGCATTAGGTCCAGCCATATTTATATAAAAGTATTTTTGTTTGTTTTTTTTTCCTGCCAAAAATAGGCTTGAGTGGGATCATCAATATATTCATGGATGCAGGGTTTCACCAGTAATACGGAGATTTTCTGGTGTAGCATGTGATCTTATTTTGTTTGTTATTTTTCTCCTGCATTCTGGCTTTCAGGTCACATGAAATAAACTCATGATTTATTTTAAATGCACGAGAAAAGATGCATAACGGCAGAAATGGGAGTTTTCTCTAATTTTTCACTTGTCTTTTTCTTGATTTTTTTAAAAAAAATTACTTTTCTTCCTCCAGGAATGGGGTGAACGTGGAAGGAGCGACCCATAAGCAAGTGGTGGACCTGATCCGTGCAGCGGAGAAGGAGCTGGTTCTGGCCGTTCTGTCCGTTCCGCCCCAGGAAGCTGATGGATTAGAAGGAGGGGAGGACATCCAGCCGAACTACGACTACAGCGACAAGCAGGCGGTGCCCATTTCCATCCCCATGTACAAACATGTGGAGCAGCACTCAGAGAGGTTTGTGGTGAGTAGATCTGACCCCTTTTCTCACTTGTGTTGCATGAAACGTATAACGCTACACCTAAATTATTTTGGTGATCAATTAATCTATTGACTATTCTACAGATTTTTCTTTGAAGAACTTTAGCATTTTCTATACAATATTAGAAATATACAAAATATAGAAATGAACAAATAATTCAAATTTATTGCCTAAAATGCAATAAGAAAGCATTTCTTTAATGAATTTGAACCGGGTGAGTATTAAAAAATGCCACTTGAGGAGTTTTGGGCAAAATATATTAGATAAGTGTTTTATCTAAAAAGCAAAATGTATTTACATTTTGTACAGTTTTGGCTGTATTACTGCTTTAATGTTTTTTTCTTTCTTTCTTTTCTTGAGTCTGTGTTTTAGCTAATCATTTGGATAATTGATTAATCACAATTAATAATCATCACAGCTCTTAAAATGTACCAGAAAAAGGAACAATTGCTTCAGGAAACAGACACCTGCTGAATGTTTTCCCTAATGCCAGTTTGCACGTCTTTCATTGTCAGGTGTACAACGTGTACATGTCAGGCAGACAGCTGTGCTCGAAGCGCTACAGAGAGTTTGCCATCCTGCACCAAAACCTGAAGAGGGAATTCTCAAACTTCAACTTCCCAAAGCTTCCTGGGAAATGGCCCTTCTCCCTGTCCGAACAGCAGCTGGACGCTCGGCGCAGAGGCCTGGAGGAGTACCTGGAGCGAGGTAGAAACGCACGAAGCCGACACAATGTTTGATTTGTTTTTATTGTGTGTGTGTTGGCTTTTCAGTTTTTTTTATCAAGTCGAGCTAAAACTGCATTTAACATGTGGATCTTGTGTAATTTGGATGAAAAATACTCCTTGTGGAGATTTAAAACACAATGTATTGTTAATATTTAACTGCTTTAGAGTTATTTGCTTTTCTCATGCATTTTCTCTCTGTTTTTGACTCCAGTATGTTCTGTGCGGGTGATAGGGGAGAGTGACATCATGCAGGAGTTTCTCTCTGAATCAGATGAGGTACGCTTCATATTTACTAACATTATTCTTAAATTATCTGTATTCTATATTTTGCTTATATGAGAGGATTTATTTTTCACTTTTTATAATTTTACCTCTTTCCCTTTTTTATATTTTTACCCTGACAATGAAAAAAATGGAAAAAAATGTACTTGCATTTTATTGACTTGGAGTTTGTTTGAAATATTTTTGAGAACTGCATTGGACAAATTTGCAACATAATGATAATGATATCTAATAGGAATCCTTTAGTATAAAATCTATACTATGCAGCTTGGATTCCTGACTCCTGATGAACAAAACTCTGGCTATATGATGAGATACCTTCAGTCCTGACGTATTCCAGAATTTGTGGAACATGTACAATAATAAAAACAGTAGTAGAGCACTATCAGTGTAAATAATCTGTACTAAAATATCCAGAGTGTTATCAAAACTGTTGCAAAAATCTTAAAATTTTGGTTTAAAAAGCTAAATATGAGTTGCAATCCTGTAGTTACTCATAAACTAAAAAGACAAAACACCAGCATGTATGGTAACACACAAACTTTAGCTGTAATAAATGCAGCTCTACACTCAACACTTTTTGTGTTTCTGCGTGCAGAACTACAATGGAGTCACAGACGTGGAGCTGCGGATAGCTCTGCCTGACAAAACCACCATCTCTGTGCGGGTTCGTAAAAACAGCACGACGGACCAGGTGTACCAGGTAAGAGCAGCTGCTCACTGATGCACCTGCAAAAAGCAGTTCATGCTTCACGCAAATGACACACTGGAACCTGTCTGCTCAGAAATAACTGGGTTCATTTTGCTCTTATTTTAATTTTTTTAGGCATTAGTGCTGAAGGTTGGAATGGACAGTATTATGGCAAGCTACTTTGCTCTTTTTGAAGTCATCAACCATTCTTTTGGTGAGAAATTTGTATTTGTTGTAAAGCTTTCTATATACATTTCTATATATTTCTATATATGATATACATCATATCTACTGATCAACATTCCAGTTGCTATTTATCAACGACAACTTTAAAAAGAAGAGTTTTTAGGTTTGATTTAAATGAATCTAGTGTTTCAGCTGTTTTGCAGTTTTCTAGAAGTTTACTCTAGTTTGGAGGAGCATAAAAAGTGAATTCTGCTTCTTTATGTTTGGTTCTGGAGATGCAGAGTAGATGCAACAATAGATTTTTAATGTATTGTGGTGCTAAGCCTTTCGGTGATTTCTAAACTAACAGAAGTATTTTAAAGTCTTTTCTCTGCGCTACAGGGAGCCAGCGTAAAGCTCTGGTTTTAGTGAGAGTGTGAGTCAGTTTATTATACGAGTGCCAGACTTCTAAATGTGGGGGTGTTACCTGAGGGCAAGTGTTGTGGTAATTCTGCTGTGATTTATTTTTATTTAAGCATGCCACGGGCCTGATTCTTTTCCCTTCTCCCTGGTTTGGTTGCAGTGAGGAAACTCGCTCCGAACGAGTTCCCCCACAAGCTTTATGTGCAGAACTACACATCCGCCGTTCCTGGGACGTGCTTAGCGCTCCGCAAATGGCTGTTCAGTGTCCAAGAAGAAGAGCTGCTCAGAGACAACCCGCTGGCGCTACACTACTGCTTCCACCAGGTGTGCTAACAGCTCTGAACCTTTTTTTTAGGTTAAATGGATATAGTCCTTTGAGCAGAGTTCTTTGCAGAGTTTGTCACCACAGCTAAAATAACAAGAAATTTAACAAGGCAAATTATGTAAGAAATCATAAATGCATTCATTTGTGTCTAAATACAAACAGCAGCCTGAAACACACACTATGAGTTTGCATTGCAAATTAGCAACAAGCCCGTTAGAACCGGCGCACAGCTGTGTGCTGAGTGGTGAGGTCGTTCATTACCTGAGGCCTGTGCTGTTCAGCAGTGACCCATCAGAGGTTCTCAGTAAGCCACCAAACAGATCATGCAGTCACTTTGAGCAAAGTTGTGAGCAGAGCTTTGGTAATCATGTAATCATATTTTTATTTACGCATTATCAAAATACAGCAAAGAGGAAATAAATGCTGCTGGACAGTCACACTGAGTGTTTTTGCCTTGTGAACATGTAATAATTTGCCAAACTCCGTCTCTTTCTGCCACTCTTCCCTCTCCCCCCTTCATCGGCGCTCTCTGTCCGTTTAGGCACTGGACGATGTGAAGAAGGGATTCATAAAAACGGAGGACAAATCCTACCAGCTGCAGAAACTGGCAGAGCAGCGCAAGATGGCCACAGTCAGTACCACAAGCCAGTCTTTGTTTACTGGGAGGGACTGGGAGGACTTCTCGGCAAATCACTCCCAACACGAACAGAAAGAGTCAGAAGTCTTTTCACAGTTTAGAAAGCAACCCTCAATGGTTCACTCAGACTTAAAACCACCAAGCTCACACAGATTTGTTTGAACCATTAAGTCACCGCAAAAACACAAAATCTTTTAATTTATTTTTTTTTAGTCTAATTTTGGTGCAGTTTCTAAGCACTTTTGGCCTAGTTTCTAACGTAAATATCTTGGTGCATATGAAACAAGACAAAACTAACTTACAAGTAACTTTTCAGCAACATATATGATCCAATAAATCCTTATTATTTAATAAAAATACTAGTTATAACTGAAATAATCTTCCAGTGGAACAAGACCATAATATAAGTTAAAATGTCTTGTTCTGGAAATGTCTGAAAAGTTGCTTTTCAGTAGCTTTGTCTCATTTTAAATGTGCTAAGATATTTCCACTGGAAATTAGGCCAAAATTCTCTTAAGATTTAGAGTTTTTTGAAGTACTAAAGTCTGTGTTTATGTCACATCAAACTGCAGTGCCTTGTGAAATGTACTGACCTTCACACTTCCCTTTGACAGTAACAAGTTCCTGTGTATTTTATCAGGAGTTTATGTGATAGAGGTGGAACTAGAAGAATATTATATATTTTTCTATGTTTTTACGCACATTTTAATGTCGTGTGTAGCGTTTTTCTAGCCTAAATTGTGACTTTCTCCTTTTATTTCTGTGTAACCTTTGTTGTTGTTTTTTTAATCACATTGAATTAATCTGGTTAAATTGCTTAGAATAATATTGACTGCTGTTTGCTGTGATGCTTGTTAGTACCTGAGCCTGCTGCGGACATGCGAGGGCTATAATGAGGTGGTCTTCCCCCACTGCTCCTGTGACTCCAGGAGGAAGGGCCACGTCATCACCGCCATCAGCATCCATCACTTCAAGCTGCACGCGTGCACCGAGGATGGCACGCTGGAGGTGACCATGCTTGAATGCAGAACGGCAAAGCAGACCCTGCGTTCACATCCTCACTTTCAAATTTGGTGCTTTTTTTCCATTTGTGTCGGAGTTTGGCCTCGACTTATTCAAACCTGGATTTTCCATGAAGATATTCTCTCCGACATTCAGATGAATGTTTATTTTTCATTTTAGTCCTTCTGTGTCTTTCTCAGAACCAGGTAATAGCTTTTGAGTGGGCAGAGATGCAGCGCTGGGACACTGACGAGGAAGGCATGGCTTTCTGCTTCGAGTACGCCAGAGGGGAGAAGAAACCGCGCTGGGTTAAGATTTTTACTCCATATGTACGTTTTGGTTTTACATCTTCTCTGGTTTTGTGTCATTTATTTGTTTACTAGAAATGTGATAAATCTCAAGGTACTCACTGTCAGAGATGATGGATTGACATTCAACTTATGGTAAAAATAGTTATTTTACGACGATAATATGATTAAGATTTCACTGTCCTTAATGCACCAAGATTTGTAATAATGAAAGAGGAACAACTAGAGGAGGAAAATATTGGTTAATTATTATCAATATTTTCACCTCAATATTTAATTGTAAGTCAGTAACATCAAAATTACCTTTTTTTTTACCTTATATTATTGGGCATTTGCTTCAAAACCCCAAACATAATGAAAAAATAAAGTGTTTCTCTGATATGAATTTTCATTCCTTAATACCTAGAAAGAGAACTTAACAAAAAAATGCTCAACAAATGCGTGACTGCAGTTATAGCAATCACTAAAAAGTGCAAAATTATGTAATTTTTTGAAATGCATGTTTGTTGGGAAAGTGGGGTTATCTTTAATGTACAATGTGATAATAATACCTTTTGCCTCGTATGTATGAATAAGCAAATGGAAAGTGTCATTAACAGGCTTCCCTCCGTTTTCTCTCCTCACAGTTCAACTACATGCATGAATGCTTCGAGCGTGTCTTTTGTGAGCTGAAGTGGAGGAAGCAGGTAAGGGACTCCTCCTTTCCTCTTTTGGGAAATATGCGACCTCGTGCCAGCTTTGTATGTCTAAACTTAGCATGTTCTTACATTCTTCTCTGCAGCCTCGCATGCTTTCCTTTGGATTTGTGTTTAAAATGTCAAGCTTTTGATTCCCGTGTGTGTTGTTTTTATCTCTTTCAGGTGGAGGAAGAGGAATCTGATAAAGACAACAAAAACTGCAGCAACAATGGTGAGGAGTTCTCAAAGTTCATAAGATTACAGACTTTAGTTTGTTAAAAGCACTCCTGCAGTTCAAGAGGTTAGATTATCGCACAGGAATATGCAGTCTGAGAGCCACTTTGATCGATGGCAGCCATCTATTACATGAATTATGCAACATCGTATCGAATCAAGCCTAAAATGTCAGAGGAAGGGGGAGAATTACAACCAGTAATTTGTTATTTATTGAAAATGAAATTGTACTGATTGGAATTTGGCAAATGTATCTTTCTTAGAATGTGCACGTTTACATTTATACCCTTTAGAGTACCTTGCAAAAGCTTCTTTATGCTTTTGCCACAGACTCCAGGGAGTTTTATTGGGATTTTATGTGCCAGCTGATCAGCTCTTGTGTGATCTGCTTGTGCAGTAAACACAAGCAGTAAACTTGTGTTGAAAAGGGTATTCTTCACTCATCTTAATTCTGCTGCATAAACAATACAATATTAGAAATGCATTGAAAGATGCAAATGAACAAATTATTCAATATGAAAAATGTTTTATTGCTTAACATGCAATAACGGCATTCCTTTAGCAAACATTTGATTGTTTGCAGCATCCGCAGCTAAAAAATACTTCTATCATCATCATATGATCAGCTCAATCCTTTCTGCTTGAATTAATATTAATACAGTGCAGGATTGATCAGTTGATTATTTTATGAATTAATCGATTTATAACTGGATAGGAAAAATTGCTTATAAAGAGATTTTTTAAGCTAAAACTATACCACTTGAGGAATTCTGGGTAGATCATATTTACTGACAAATGTTTTTGCTTTTTTCTCATCTTAAATGTAAAATGTATATCTTTTTTATATAGTTTTAATTACTGCTTTGAGTTTGTTCTTTCAGAAAATGGATTTTTTGCAAGTCTGTATACACCAGTTAACGATTAATCGATTACTGAATTAGTTGACAATTAATCATGATTAATCGGATCAATCGTTTGAGCCCTAGTTGTGTTCTTGCAGCATGACTTTCAAAATAAGACGGTCACTCAGACTTGTTGCCTTCCAGAATACCTGCCTCCTCTGGAGACGCAACAGAAGGGATGGCGCCACCTAGGGGGGGAAATCGCAACGTCCTAAAAAAAAAAACCAGAAAGAAAAAAAAGAAAAGGGTATTCTTCACTCAAACTAAAACTGATCCACTCGCATCATCACAGCCACCTACAGAAAGCGACCATTGACAAACAGAAGAAGTGAGAGTCTGAGGCGGAGGGGGGGAAAACAAAGTCACTCCCAAAATAAATCCAAGGATGGGCAGAGTGAGAAGAGAAGCGAAGGAGAATCAGCATCAACCAGCTTTTGTGTAATTTACTAGATCTCCAACGTGTGTCTGTTGTTTTTCCTCCATGTGACGTTTGGCTCAACACTAGAAAAGTCTCACCACTGGACGGGTCGAGGTGTGCAAGCGCCTGATTCTTTACTAATCAGGTCGAACACCCTCGCAGCGGGTGAAAGAGCTGATTCACCCGCTTGTACAGCTTCTGGGATGACTATTGGGTCCAGATGTTCTGCTTCTGGGTCTCAAAAGGCAAATCGAGCTGAGACACAGAGGGAAAAAGACAAAGAAGAGGAGAGGTACAGCAGACAATGGGTTCCACTTCTTTAAGTCAGTGATAAACACAAGCAAAATCCTGCTCTACACTTACACTGGTGCCGGACATTAACAGAAGTTTTTAGTTTTATGGGGTTTTTTTTCTGTTTCTGGGGTTCTGACTTTGTCGGAGAATATGGCCAGCACAAATGTAACAATGAAAATGGATGTGTTCGTAATTATTTGTATGTTAACAATTATGCCTCTGTTAAGAAAATATAGATTAATATAAGACCAAGTAAAATTAGGGGTTCTTTTTTTTTTGTTTGTTTTGATCTGACATAATGAAACGCTAACTGAACTGCTGGCAGGGAGCTCAAACTAATCCATCTTTCACCTCGTCCTCCAGCCTAATTCAGCAGAGAGTGACTTCTGTTGGCACTTCGCCATTAATCTCAACATATTATTTATCCTCATTCCAAGTGATATTTTTTCTTTTTTGTAGTTTACTGGCAAACATTGTTGTGAAGAGGTGGTGTTGACATTCTCAGCTCCTGAACAAAAAAACGTCTCAAGCCAAAGCTTTAATGTTTTTGAAATGTCTCACTTTATGCAACGTCAGTTTGTGAATACAAACATGACGGGACGGGATTCACGAGGTGAGGTGTGCCGAGCTGCAGTTTTGTTGGGTGGCCACCAGGGAGCAGCAGCAGCTAAGACGGGGAGCTGGAATGGAAATCTCACTGTGATTCCCTCCGGGTCTGTAAGCCACCCGAAAGTATCAGTCTCCTGCAGTTTGTCCATTAAGCAAGTCAGGAGGAAAAGATGTGGTGTGTGTGTGAAAGCAGATGTGCATGGAGGTGTGTGACTGCCATCCGCATTCAGAGCGATTCCTCCTCCTGCACATACATGAATACAGTATTTGATGTGTGCAGATGCACTTGATAAAATTTAAATTTGACAGAAACCTTTGTGACTTTCTGATGAATATGGTGGTTCGTTCGTGTCTTTCTGTGTTGTCAGGAGACGGCGTCAGCGTCTTGATTTCGGGGTTGTAGTTTTGTTTGTCCCGCCGAGGGTTAGAGGTTTATCTCTGAGGCATGGGCCGGTTAGCGGCGTCGGCGTTAAAGTTTCAGAGCAGATAAAATTCCCCAATCTGCCAATAGATACCTTTTAGTGATTTAAAAATTTTCTTCAGCTGTACAGAGCAAAGAATCACACAGCTCTGCTCTAACTCTCTTACTCTTTCTTTACTAATCTGCAAATACAAGGTATAACATAATGTAGGTGGTTTTGATTTATGCACATACAACTTTAAAAGTTAAACATGTATGCTAGTTGGATTAATTATTGCTTTTCTGTTTTAAAATTAGGCTTTGACTTTTCTTTTTTTTTCCATTTAGATTTTTGAATAAATATTAAAGTAATAAAGAAGGTTAAGGTTTAGAAAAGGCAAATAAAATACAGCCAGATCCTAATAGTACATAAAATACTGAATATAAAGGGCAACCAAAATATGTTTAATAAACATATGTGCAATAGAGAAGACAGGCAGCACTTGTAGAAGAAACACTGAAAATGTATAAATTTAACATTTAAAAAACTAAAAGGCAGCAAAAGGTAAGCCATGGATAAATTTCAAAACTATAAAATTAGGCAAAAAATCTATGTTAGACAATCAAATGGCTTAATAAAGTTAAGCCCAACATTGTTCCAGATTTGGTTTTCAGGCAAATCTTTTCACTTACCAACATATTTCCTCTGACCAGCTAGTATAAGAAGGGTTGGACTGAGCGAAAACCAATAAAACTTTTATGCTTTTATTGTTGAAGTTGATCCTCTTATGTTTTATCACCTTCTGAAGGATGCTTGCACCATTTCCTATTGGAAACAAACTTTTTAGTTGGATGAAAACTAATTTTGAATCTTGAGCTCAAACACTATTTTTTTTGTAAATAAATTTTTGCATAAACACCATAAAACGTTGATTTATTTTTATTGTTATCATACAGTGAGAATCTCAGACCGGCCCATGCCTGTTCTCAACCAATCATTTCTGAGTCATTTCTGAGTCATTCCTTCGCTTCGCTCACAATTTGCCAGCAACCAGAAACTTGAAATCAATACTTTTTGTTCATGGCGGTCTTTCTTTCTTTCTCTGATGTTTATGTGTAAAGTGTTCCGCTGCTGTCATAATAAGCTTTCCGTAGGCATTGTGCCGTCTGAGTGCGTCCTCTGTGTTTGTCGTTGACATTGCTGATAAGCCCGGATGCTCCGATTGGACGAGTCTGATGAGCTGTTGGTGTGAGAGCCTCAGATTGAAGATGGAGGGGTTTAAACTGTAGACGGCAAAGATGTTGGACAGATTTAGACTAATGGGGGTTTTTCTCCTGTTTGACTAACATTGCTTAACCCACACACACACACACTCGCAGAAAATAATAAATATATTCCCGCCTTTCTGCTACCAGAGCAGCATTGTTAAGTGAAGCTCAGAATATGTCATGTGATAGTTGCCTTTAGGTTAAAAACAGCTAACATGTTGGTGTGGCGTCTTGTGTTGAACTCATCATGGGTCGTTTGATTGAGAAGCTGCGGATGTGCGGGTTGCTGGACCACCAAAGTAATAGCCAATTTGGATCTGGATGATTGAAGAACTGCAGCTGCTCAGCCATGATGCTGTTGTTTATTTATTTTTTTCCTCCCCCTCTGCGCGATAAAGAGACGAGACGGTCTGAGGGTTGTGATTGTGCGCGCTGCCTTGTTTGTCCTCTGCTGCCTCACTCTCTCCAGGTTTAGTCTCCCGTCATCGCAGGGGGATGCGGTTGCCGTGGCAGCAACACGTTGGCTCAACACGCTCAGTGCAGCTTCTGTTCCTTTTATTCCCGCCAGCCAACCGACTCGCTCCTCCTGATAATGTATTCAGAGCTGTGTTTGGGGTTGTGTGTGTGTGTGTCTTTTATTTTTATTTTCTCCCCCCACTGTTTGATGTTTGTTCTCTGTCCCCGTGGCTCGTGCTGCTGTGAATAGATTTATAGAAAGCTGCTTCAAAAATATATATATATATATTTGTGGTTTGTTTTTGTCTCGACTGTGTCAGATATCATTTCACAGCTCGGTCATTGGCAGGTGTGTGTTGATGGCGTCGTCCGTCGAACTCGTGAAACTTAATGTCATGATAATGAAAATGAAAGCAAAGACGCGACAGGAATGTAAAGAAGTGCGTTTTGTAGAGATGACAAGTTGTGTACGTGTGTGTGTGTGTGTGTGTGTGTGAGATGCTGGGCGACCCGCGCTTTTAATTACGCTGTTGTTTTTCGAAAATAATTCTTTCAAGTAGGAGATAATTGACATGAATGTCGGTGAAGCAAATATAGTGATAGTGAAGGTAAAGTGAAAGAGAAACAGAGCTTATTCCTCATTAACTAGACTGTCGTCAGGATTTTTGTGTTAAACAGGTATAGTGGGCCTTTTCTTTTTAGATGTGGAGCATTTCATGATGATCACACTCCTCAGATGTCTTTGGGTTATTTTTTGTTTGTTTGGGTGGTTCAGTTGGAGTCTCATTACCGACACTAATACCTGAATTAGAGATGCACCGATAAGAGTTGGTGGTTGATGCCAATTTTTCCTGGTTTCTTTGTTCAAACTATGATTATTCTTGAATGTACACCAAATTGACTTTAATATGCACAAATTCTCAGTAGAAACTATCTTGCTATCTTGTCAGTGGCTGACAATCATGGTTTCCTTATCTATGCTTCTGGATTGGCTACTTTGTAAACGTCAGCCAATAGTAGCATTTCTCTGATATTTCAGATTCCCTGGTAAAAGTTAAACTTTTTTACAACTATCTATATCTGATATATTTTCTTTCAAATATTTCAGATATGCATTATGAAGACATCCACAAGTATCACGGTTTTCCCAGGGTTTATAAGCCTGGCGGGTCACCAGGCTTTACTTACCCACCAGGCTAAGCATTGCTTATTTATTTAAGTCTCTTTAAAATGTTTCCATTTTTTAAAGACTTTATAGTTGGTGTTCAGGTATTAATCTTCCAATCTTTTGGTTTAACACATAATTATCAAGTGATATTTTAACATTTTTCTGGGGGAAACTTTGAACAGGCACATTTTTTTCATGACCAATTCCAAGTTACATTTTTCTGAAAATTCCACAAACAGGCAGGTAATCAAAATGTGTCTTGGGTTTTTTTTTATTTTTTTTATTTGTCCTTTAGCAGGTTTGTTCCTCTGCTGCACAGCCATGTGTTGCCATTTGACCCCAAAACAAAAACTCTTGTACCAGCAGGATTTCAAAGTCAGAAACTTTCAAAAAATGTCTTGGTAATTGTGGGAAACAGCTGGAAATAAATTACATAAATATTTGTTTTCCCAGCTGTCCATGTCCCATTTGCAAGTGAAACTATTTTCCAATTAGATATATTTGAAAATACAAACAGCCTGTGCCTGTGATGAAAGAGCACACTCTGCATGTAGGGGGCGTGGCCTCACTGTGCGCTATGTGCATGTGATAGAAGACCAGTATGAATATACTCAGACTTGCATGCATGAACACAAGAGCTGCACTTCTTTAAAAACTTTTTTCATTGCATTAATTTTACTTAAAATTGCAATTACTGTATTGGTTGATTAATCCACATTTCAAAAGTCACTTCTTAGTCCCATAAATTGCCATGTAAAATGTTTGATTTTGAAAGTTTCTGGATTTTTGCTAGCAGGATCATTTCTCTAGGAATAATACTTGATATTGTTTTCGAGTGTTTAATGTTTTGCCATCTCTTGCATACATTGGGATTCTGATTGTTGTTCAGACTACTTACTGTGATCCTTGATCAAAACCCAATAAGCTTTGACTGTTTATATGAATAGACAGTCAAATTTTGGTAGAGTTAGATTAAGTACTCAGTTCTCAAAGCCAGTATGAAGCGTCCCAAACTGGGTATTAATTGACACCTGGTTGGTCCAAAACGTCCTGTGACTGACGACTCCTTTATGCCTCCGACGTTTTCAAGTATGAAAATATCAAAACCGCAAAAGTACAAAATGTTGGAGACAAAATGACCAGTACAGATTCTTACTCCTCATTGGAACACTTTGTACAAGCTTTAACAACTAACGACTTTTTAAATTCATTCTTCTAGTATCCACTTGTCGTCTATTGTAATTTTGCGGATGAATCAAAACATTGATATCCACCTGATTATGGATCGTAATCAGTCATATTTACAACAGTCAACTGGATAAAACAGGAACCAGGTCAAAAATCATTTGAATTTGGCTGTAATACAAAGTCTGTAGAAAGTAATCTTAGTCAACCGATGGGTGAAACTGAAGCAATAGTTTACATAACTCATAAATTACTGAACTACACAGAAAACCGAACTTCTATGAAATAATTTGAGTTCATGGATATGAAAAGTTTCTTTCTTTTTTTTCTCTTTTCAAAGTAGTGGCAGAAATGGCAACACGTGGATGTAAAATGAGGCTATTAGCTAATAACAGGGGACGTCACACTGGGTGTGTGCTTGAGATGAGCTGCTGTAAAGTTATTATATTATTAACTCTATTTAAAAATAACACACTTAATGAACGACTTCAGGTTTCATTTTAATAACTTCTTTCAACTTATGTGGTTGAAAATAGCGTGACGTCTTCTGACATCCACTCTGAAGAGTGTTGTTATTACGACTCGTGGTCTCTTCACTAACTGGGAAACAATTGATTTCTGTCCTTTTCGCCCGGTTCTTCTCGGTGCATCTCTTGCGGAAACTCAGTATTCATCCAGATCAGATCAGTGTTTGCATCTTTTACCTTTAATTAACATGACAGGTGGATGTGTTTATAAAATATTTGCCTACTTAAACTTATCTGTTCACTGCTTTGAAAGGTTTTCCAAAGCAGCAGGAAGACGCTGACACATTAAAGAAAATACGTTTTCAAAAACTGTCATCACCAAGGTGTTGTTTAACGAGTCCTAACAAAAGAAGCAGACTCGTTTTTTTCTCCAACTCAGAGCCTTTTATTTATTGGAGCAGATTTCGTAAAGATTGGTGGATTTCTCGTGCTTCAACCATCGAGGCGCCGGTTCAGCTGCACGGAAGACGACCACAAACGGTGGTTAAAAGACATGCGGTTTCTCATTCAATAAGTGTATAAAGACTACAATTAACTCAAGCTAAAAAAATAAAACAAAAATAAAAAAGTATAAGGTTTTATATTTAAAAAGGTCTTTGAAGGTTTACTAACCAGTATAAATACATGAAAAAGAAGAAAAAAGTTTTAAAAATGTTGTGTAGAGTAATAAATTGTAACAATATTTTAAATAAAGTTCTATATATTGAGAAAAAAAAGGTGATTGTGTGCATTTATTTCCTTTCTCTTGGACATTAACAGCTTCCACTGGGATTGTTTTCCTCTCTGATTGTTTTCATCAGACAGACCTCACTAAACTCAAAACTATAAAGCAATGAAGCAGCAGCGGCGCTCACCTGGGGACGTATCACAATCCTAGAGGAGACGTGCGTGCAGTGAATCTTTTTAATTGTGATGAAAAATCTAACAGAAATCAAATGCATAACTCATTAGGCATCTCTTTGAGTTGCCAATCATCGTAGTGTTGGTTTAATGCAAAGGTGTCGTTTGTTCATGCGTGGGTGGCTTTTATGCAAAACGGTTCATGCTGAAGGTAAATGTTGAGCTGGGCTCGCAGAAAGCCTGAGTTGAAACACAAAGTTTCATCTTTTTTTTTTTTTTTTTTGGAGTGGAGCAGAAGACAGATTCTGATGCTCTTTCCTCATTGTTTTCACCGTCCGCCTCGCATGACAGACTCACATTCCCTGCCTGCAAACGGACCCAGGTTGACCTGCAAGGGAGAAGTGCTTTGCAGTAGATTACAGGTCCAGAGGCCGCGCGCTGCGGGGTGCAGACCTGCAGGCACATCATCCCGGCAGAGGCAAGATGACATTTTGATGTGCACACGCTGCATGGGTTTTCAGAGCGCTGCTGCACTCCGAAGGGAAGAAATGGCAGACTGGGGTGAGGGATTAAAAAAAAAAGTCAATAAGTCAGAGGTTGCTGGTGCGCCACGTGCAAGACATGATGCTCCGGTTAATGTCTTGCATGTCTCATTGGAACCACTGAAGTTCAAACACCTTTTGAAGCTTTAGGTTTGGCTTTTGTTGCCGTTCCTTCATTATTGATGTTAGAAAAGTATAATTATGGGGCTAATTTAAATGCTAGCTGCAATAAGACCTTACCGATAGTAATAAGTGTTTCTCATTTACCCTTGAAATTATTTACATCAGGGCTCAATGTGCTGGTTTTTGAGCTCTTAGCCTACTTCAGAGTAGACTAATTATGGGATTTTTATTCTACAGGCGTTATAACAATAAAACTTTGGTATGAAATGAATCCACTTAATGTAAGTAATCAGATATTTAATCGTCTTTCGAAGGGAGAGGGATCATATTTCACATAGGTCCAGGTTGCCTTTTGATAGTTGGGGCCATAAAAATGTTCTAAAAAAAAAAAGTCTAATTTGGAAACTTTATGACCCCAATTTAGCTCCACAGTTTCTCTATTAAATAGTTGTTTTTTCAGCAGTGATTTGTTTCTTTGCTTTAAATGACAGAGACATTAGACTTTTATTTGATGCGCTGAAACATTTGGATGTGACAAACAAAAGCAAGAAACAGAAGAAATCTGTAAGGGAACCGCGTCTTCACGGCGCTTCACGTGAATCAGAGTCGATTTGTGGCCGGGTTGTTTGCATTTTGGTTCTTAGCTGCAGCTCAGAACCAAAAGAAACAATTAGCAGCCATGCAGGAAACAGACGAGCCTTTCTGTCTGTGAATATGGCAAACATCTCTAAATTATCCCTATAATGTGAAAAACAAAAACTACTGAGTAAAACCTTTATTTGTTGCATTTCCATTTATATTTATTTAACTGGAGTTTTTATTACATTCATTCAATTTTTTATTTTATAACAAAGTAATGAGTCAACATTTTTTGCATTTTTTTTTTTTTAATGAATTGTAATCGCAGCTAAAGAAATCCCAGTACTTCTTTCCACTATTGTTCACTGACACTCCAGCAGAAAGTTTGATATCTGCTCCAAATAATTTAACAGCAGGAACAAGTTGAGGTTTAATGGGGATCTCCAGCTGCTGTTTGAGGAGGAGAAAGCAAAACATCCTCGTCTTACAACAGGAACACCTCCCCGCCGAAAAGAGCCTCTAAGTTTCCCTGTCAGACTGGAATAATGACCTCAGAGCTGCTGCTTATCTAGTGGTCACACCTGAGGAAAAATGTGTCAGGTCCACTTATTGTCCACTTGTCTTGAAGCTCCGGTGTGGGAGTCTCTCCAAAACGAGTTACCGCCGGCACTCTTCTTCTTCTGCTGGAGTCAATTATTCCTTCTTTCCTGTGTGCAAAGCCAGTCACTTCTCCTTGTGCTGAATCTGGAATCTTAAATGACATTATGTAACCGCGCCTCCCTTGCCCTCCACCCCCCTCTCTCTGAGCTTGCATAATCACATATATATTCGCTCAGAGCCGAAGCAGAAGACTCGGATTATCTCTGTTTATTTTAGCTCTTTGAGAAAAATCTGTACTTGCATAGAACTGTAGCATTTTTCCTGGAGGAGCGCTGAACATGAATATTCCCTCTAACTAAAGCGAGTATCACAAGATTTTAAATGCATGCAAAGTTGTGTTTGTTACTTAAATATGACTTCCAGAGTGGCATCAAAAAAAAAAAAGTAGTACTACTTTGCCTTCATGCTTCACACCACAGCAGTCAGCGTTCGTTTTTCTGTGACATTTATTGTCAGTGACACCATAAAATGGGCCGTATGGATAATTCATCTTCACTGAATTTTATCAGCCTCATCATATTAAAGACCATAACATCTCAGGCTGACTCTCCTGGGAACATTTTGCTACGTAGAGACCCATGAGGTTCACCTGGTTTGTCTCCCTGCTGCTGGTTCGTGTTGCCTTTGACCTGCTGGAGCTTGAAGAGGAAACTTCCTGGATGACGCTTCAGCGTGAAAGTGGAGACCGAGGTCACGTTATGGGAAACAGGAAGAGAACGAGTGTGGGCTGACTTCTTTTCTTTTTTTTCCCCCGTAGTTTGTTTTTCTCATCTTGAGAAAGACGTCAATAAATTTGAATCATTGGAAAAGCTTTATTGTATCACTCAAAAGGTAAAACATTTATTCCAGGAATGTAATTTGTGTTCATTTTGGTGATTATGACCTTCAGGTAATGAAACCCCAACATCAGGTTTCTCAGAAAACTTTGAATCAAAATGCTTAAAATGGTAAAAAATACATCAATAAATATTTTACTGCACAATTGCTGGACTATGTTCATATACTGTACAGTGAATATTTTACCCATAAACATCTCCAGGCTGCAGTTATCCCTGTGTGGAGGACGCACTTTTTTTCCCTTCCACTCAACATTTACATGTTTGTCCTTCATGCTTTAGATATGAATGCATCACCTCTTCAGTATGTCGTTAAGTGCTGCAGAAGCCCGACAATCCACCTTTTATTGAATTAAGGGAAACATTGAAAACATGAAGCATTTTCTCAAATATATATACTTCTCTGGGGAAAAAAAAAGAAGAGTCCACTGCAGTGAACCCCTTTAAAAACCTGGTTATTCCACCAAATACTCATTTCTGAACTCTTCCTGAGTTAAAACATTAGTATTGTTGTTTCTAAATCAATATGAATTTATTTTCTTTGCATTGTTTGAGGTCTGGAAGCGCTGCATCTCATTTTCTGGTAATAAATACAAAATGTTTGCTTGTAATTTCAGAGACATGTCAGTGATCCATAGAATAAGATAACAAATTTAATTTTACTGGAATAAATACCTATAAAGAGTAAAATCAGAAAATAGGAGCATTTTAAGTTGGCTCTTAACTTTTTCCAGAGCGGTGTACAAATGTATGAATTATTCAAATAAATGTCTCATATAAAAATTAAACATCTTGATGATCCACAGGATATTTGGTAAAATATTCTCTGGAATAAGAAAACAAGAGTGGAAATTTATTATTTTTTTTAATCTCTATTTATGCAATAAATTTGCAGCATTTCAGAAAAATAACTTCATGCAAACCATCAAACTTGTAGTGTGATGGACTGGGGCTGATTTGCTTCTTTACTTATTTAATACAACTTTCTGTAATCGATAGAACAATAAATTCAGCTCTTTTAACCTGAAGCAAACATGAGTCATGCAGCAGAAAAATTAAGCTCATAAATAAATGAATAAAAATATTTCTGTGCCCTGGGCAAGTTGGATTTAAGGCCCAGTCTTAAATCCAATTGAGGTGACCTTAAGAATTGACAAAATAAAACAACCAGTGTTGCTTAAAGTGGATTTATTATTCAAAATTCACACTTTGCATGTTTTTGTATGTTTAGTTTGGTCTCAACTGTTTCTAAAAAAACAACCCAATTGTTTTTTTTTACACCTGAGAAATGAGCTGTTTCAAAAACCTCCCAATTATTAAGTCACAATCACCAGTCACTGCTCTGATACCTAACAACCCAAATAGACACAGCATGTTTGGTCAGCTGTTTTTACAGCTCTATGCACTGTATGATGGCTACTGGATAAGACACATGTTTTGTTGACTTACCATTCAGAAACCACTTGATGCATTCTTGTTAGTTGTGCAGGAGGCTCCATTTCTGCTTTTCAAAGATGTACGGTTGTGTAATTGCGCATCAGCCATTTTCTGATGAGTGTAAATGTTGAGCTGAGGGGGCGTGACCAGGAGCAGATTATTTAGAATCAAACTGACAAGATGCCCTAAAACAGCACGAAATAGACAGAAGTGAGCAAATTAAAATCTCATTATCCAAGACTGATTTTAAACTCTTATTTATACCAAGCAGCAAAAACAGAGTAACTGTGTAAGGGAGTCGCTGCAGACCGATTGGTTGCAACGGGCCAGTGTCCCACTGGGTGAACACCTCATATCCACTTAACCCTGTGACCGCAGCGGCCTGAGCAGGTTAAAGGACAGTCTGTAAAACCAGTGAATACAGCCAGGCAGGATTAATCAGGCCTAACGACACATCTGTAGACATTAGGCTCGCAGGGGAGAGGCGGGCATCAATCAACGTCTGGAGAGTCTCCCTCTCCCTGCTTCTCGTCAGCTCTATCGACCGGCGCTTTGGGCCTCTGGTAATTAAAAGGCATTGATCGAAACCTCAGCCGCAAGATTGTTGGTACACAAGCATGCAGCCGCAGCGCGCCGTAGCGGGACTTTTAGAGAGGGAACAGGTGTGCTAACACACCGGCTGGCTGCGTTAACATTGTACAATTTGCATTTTATGGATTGGTTGTACGCAAGGCGCTTGAGTTTGTCAAAAGTTTGTCTTCCTGCACTGGCTGAGATTTGCAAAACGTGCAGTAATTAAATCTTTGAGAGCTGCAAGAGGCTGGTTAACCCCCAGAGTAAATAAGTTCGGGGGGTAAAAAAAAAGAATCGCTTAAGTGTGTGAGTACGGCAAACCCGTAGGCTCATCTTCCCCACGGACACCCACAGCCTCCCTCTCCCTTTTTATTCCATCTGAGTGAACACAGTAAATCTAAGTGCTGCCAGATTGCTGGCGCTGCACATTTTTCCACCGTCGAGTTAGCTCATCAGGCAGGGAGCCTTGGCCAGCCTGAATGAGGACCGGTGCACTACTATAAATACACCAGTGACTCTTTACTCATCCTGGCACACTGACTGAGTGACACAGTGAAGGCCGCGCATAAACTCCATTCCCCTCAATGGGCGTGTGGACGCACAGAGATATGTCTCTAATTTCTGTTTATTTCTGGAGTATATATTTCTCCCTCTGGGCGTGATAAAGTGCAGCGACCTTTCATTTGATGCCGGTGACTGAGTTATACTTGTCTGGGCGCACATCTCCGCTGCCACCGTCCTCCCATAAATCTGATGAATTACCCAGGATGCCACTCTTTCCTCTATTAACCCCCCTTCCTCTTCTGCCCTTCCTACTATACCCCCCACCACCACCACCTCTTTTCCTTCCTGAACCAGTGATCAATTAAGTTCCTGTCCAGCTCCCACCAACACATAAGCACTTCCTGTCCCTCTCTTTTCCCTTCACTGTCATTTTTCTCCTCTTTTGTCTCTGCCACCAGGCAGAAGAAGAAGAGACAGGAAGACAGCAGAAGAAGAGAGGCACTCTTCACTTTGAGGCGAGACGAAGACAGGAATGTAGCTAAGAAAGTCGGCCTTCAAGGTAAGAGCCGGCGTTAATCCATCCATATTGTCCGTGAGATTGGGTAGTGAAGTTCAACGAGAACAACCAGAGATCATTCTTTCAGCAAACGATGCAAGTTATCAGTTAATTATTAGTTCGAAAGTTGATTCATCGACGAACAATTAATCGATAAGCGGCCATTTTCTTTACAACTTGAGTTTTCTCGTCGTAACATGAAGAACTAAATTCACTGAATTAAAAGGAAACATCATGAGGTACTGACTGAATAAACTCACATCGATAAACTTAGACATATTTATAAAATATAAACAAAATAGGAACCTGTAAGTTGCTAAACAGGAAAATAAAAGATAAAAATAATGTAATACTTGATTTAATCCCCCATGATGCATTGTGTGGCCTTTTTGTACCGTCATCATCACGCCTGTTCCTTCATGGAAAATTTGTCATTGTTGAATGAGAAGTTGCTCTGAGCGCCATTAAGGTGAAACGTCAGGAGCTTGCTGATTGTTTATATTTTCAAAACAGAACCGCATGAAGCATGTTTTATATCGGACACTTGTTGGACCATTTCTCTTTCCCGTTCAGGTGTAGCTCCGCCATCTTTAATCCCGTATCCTCCCGTTAAGGATTACCATGCGCCCTCTGCTGGATGGAGTTCAAACTGCTACAGTTTTAAGTCAATAATTCCTCAAAATATATTTAAAAATATTGGTTATAATGTCAAAAAGAAGTGTGATATGCATTGCTAAACTACACCCAGTATTTCCATTCACTCATATTTTCACATATATACTTATTTATTAAACTCATTGGTGGAGAAAATGGCAAAAATAGAAATTATGACATTATGAACAGCTTTGGGGGAGTTGGAACATCATTCATTGAAATTTATTGCGAAAACAACAACTCAAACTTTTTATAAGAAATTTAACACGATAAAGGAAAAACAATACGATAAATGCACCACAACCAGTTGTAGCTTTTCTCCGGTTTCACAAAATGGATGAAGATTGAACTCGAAACTCCTAATAGTCCTTCAACAACTTCTCAACTGAGCCTCCTGAATCGCCTGGAGAATCCTTTTCTGCAACTTCGAGCTTCAACGTTCCCAGGAAAACTACAAAAATATTAATGGTTTTCTTAAATAAATCAAAGTGGCAATAAATTTGGCTGTATGTCGCTAGATCCAGTGAAATCCCCAAATAGCAAATCTATCCAACACCAATAAACACAGGCCGTGAGGCTAAGCACTGAGATTTATTTTCCTCCTGTCATAACAGGATTAGAAGCTCATTAATAAGCCACACATTGCACTGGTCATGTTTTCCTATCAGGATGAATGGAGGCGCTCTTGTTTAATTCCCAATCAGTCCCACATACATCATCCAGCTGCTGTAAAAACTCTCCAGAGCATCAGAGGTAAATTAATCTGCAGCTGAAACGTTGAGGGACGTTTGCTGAAACTGCAACATGCAGCATTTCTGTCCACCATTTAATGACATCAAACTGGATTTGTTGATGTGACAAAAATACTTCACAAGATGCCAATCTCTGGTTTTAAAGGTTTTTCTTGTTTTGCTTTGTTTGCTTCTTCTATAACAATTAGATTTTGTATCTTTGCTGGCAGTTTGAAGGTAGTTTATTTATTTTATTTATTGGAAACTGGTTTTCAGTAACCCTTAACATTAAAATTAAGTTAGTTCTTTGTGACACATCAACCTGAAAATGTACAGTCCTTGTAAAAGAAGAAAAAAAAATCACTTGATAAAATGCCACGACCGAAACCCCAGGAATTAATTGCTTCTGCCCATTAACCTGAGAGGCATCAAGGAAATGATTAACATTGTGAAATATTTTGAACAGCTGCCAATTTTCCCAGGAGGAGATACACCAAAAAAGCTTCATCACAAACTCTTCAAGCCTCAGCTAGCATGCTGAAGGTTGAAATTACATAACAGAACAAGCCAAGAGAAAAGCCTCTTCTCTATAAAAACAACGGTACCGTGACTCTGTGACCAACAAGACGACGGAAACAAGGTTGTTTTGACAGATGAGCCCAAACAGGATGGCAGCGATGATCCTAAACACAGCAGCAAATATCCCCCAGAATGAGCGAGAAAGAAAAGAGTTATGACGCGGCGGCGGACGAGCCGACATCCGGACCTGAAGCCGACTGAAATGCTGCCCTGAGGCCTTGAGGGAGAAACAAATGGAGAATAGAGAATTAATAGAGAATGACAATATTACTAGATTATATTGAACGCATTCAACTGAGACAAAAAGTACATTTAGGATTTAATTAGAAAGCTTTACTTTGTAAAACTTAAAAGAATCATCTTGATAGTTTCATGGTTGTGTTACAATGACGACAATACGGTGTAAACTTTGTTTGTTCACAAATACATCACAGTAACCAATAACCAATAATCAGTGATTGATTTTAAACTTGGCCAATAAACCTGGTCTCCCTCTCACAGAATCACCTTATCGATATTTAAACTTGTTAGTGATGCTGAGGTTCTTAGTAGAAAAGGTTTTAGAGGGTAGAGGGGGTTCTGCCTGAGGCCCCATATTACCTTGGGCCGGCCCTGCATGAACAGCCGCTGTGATGCGGATCTCCGTAATCTACCTGGAATCTACCTGGTTCCCCCGGTGGCCCTCATGTCAGTCCACCGATGCTTTGGGGACATTTTGGTTCATTTAATTGTGGCATGTTTGACTTTAAGCATCAGTATTTTCTCTGATGTTTATTGTGTGAACTCTAATTGGGCCCAATCTTCCTCTAACACTTGAGGTTCTGCAATAACTTCTATTCACAGCCGCTCACCTCCAGCCCAGATCCTGTCAGCGGTGGCTTTAACCCGCCTGGTAGTAATGTAGTGGTACCAGGTGGTACCTCTGGTGAGTGGTACCATGGTACCGGGCTTTGAGGTGCGTTGCGACTCGCGGTGACAGTCGGTACCATGTTTTATATCAGGATGTTTGATATAAAGACAGACGTCCTTTCTATCTGTCGGTGGTACCGACCCAGACTGCCTGTAGAACCGGGCCTTCAGCATAATGATGAAGTTAAAGTCAGAAGTTTCTCTGCAGCTTTTCTGTGTTTGGGGCGAGGCGGGTTTGTCCGCTATTGCGAGGACAATTATGAAAATATAAATAGAAACTGTTTTTCTAAGTCAACATCAGACCAACGTTTTTATTCACAAACCAGTGCATGAAAAAAATATTCCTGCCCATGATTTGATAGTTAGAGGCACAGATCCTCCTCCTCCTCACCAGGGACCTGGAATCTGAACAACATGGAGCCAGCCAGAAAGGGTCATTATTACATTGAAGGCAGCCAGACTAGTTTATTTTGATAAATCATTATGTTTAGTGAAATATTATTGCTGAGGGGGAAAGCAGGCCTCCTGACATATAGATAAAAAAAAAATTATTAACAAAAAACTCAAAAGGACACTTGGGACATCAAGGATAAAAGAGGCAGGGGCTCAAGCCCCCGTCAGCCCCCCTCTGCACGTGCCTGCTCCTTAAATACAATCCAGGTGGCCACGTAATCAGAGGCACCTTCCACAATCAAGGACCTGAATTGACAAACAATTTACCGGCCACGTTGCCACACAGCCGGGTCAGAGAAACATCTGACGTCACAGTTTGCTTGTATGAAACCAAACTTTCATGTAACCTTTTAAAGTGCTTTTGTTGTTTTGTTTTTTTTGTCTCCAGACTTTAAGAAGCTCTTGCAAATTTCACTTCAGACTTTAGTTTTTCTTTTCCTCATTTTCCGTCGCGTCGTTGCACCTGACCATGACCGCATACTGGGCAGTGACTGTTTAAGGAAAGTGACGATAGAACATGTCCGTCCATCCATTGTCTACACCTGCTTCACCTGGCAGGGTTACAGGCTGCACCCTGCCAGGTAACCATCACAGGATAAAACAAAGATGAAAAGGATAAACACACGCACGCATTCATACCTATCGACAACTTTAGGCTGCTTTTACACCAGTCCTGTTCCTTCAACCCCAGTTTGTTTGCCTAGACAGCCTGATTCGCTTCGGGAGGTGTGACTGCTGAAGTCTGGTCCCTTAAAAACCCAGGTCTCATTTCAGCTGAAGTGCAGTTTGAATACATAAATGGATGCAAGCAGACCAAAGACTGCTCCAAAAGAGAGGAGTGAACTACAGAGCAGGGCATTCTGGTAAACACAATCAAAACAAATATGTTAATCTAGTGCTAGGTAGAGAAATGTCTTGCCGTCTTTTACCAGAGACAAAAGAGAAATCCTTGACCCACTGAAGACTGATGCCATTTACATTTCGTAAAGAAGGAAGTTGGGCTCAATGCCTTCTTCAGAGGTTTTAATCTTGTTTCCTTATGCAGTTCTTGGTGTAGCGCCATCACTGGTGAGGGGTGGAACAAGTTTTTGAAAGGGTTTGGTTCACTTGACACAGTGCAGTGTGAAGGCAAACCAAACCAGTTGAAAATTTTGGTCCCCAGTTAAACTAATTCTCCTAGACTATAAGGTGTGAGCACAACCTAATTAACCTAACATTCCTGTTTTTGGACTGCGGGAGGAAGCTAGTGTATCTGGAGAGAACCCACGCATTCACAAGAAGAACATGCAAACTCCATGCAACAGTGCTACCACCTACCAATTGTGAAGCCTTAAAGAGAAGATGTGCTAGCTTTAAATAGTCTAAGGATCTGAGCAATGCATCATGCTTTAACTGATTAAACCTTGAGCAAATAGCTCTTTGGGAATTACCCTGTCGGTGGTCAAATATGAGTTTCTGTACAATGAACGGTTATCTTTGGTATTTTTCTTTAATTTAACTAAAGAAATAGAAACCTCCCTGTGAGAGGAAGGGAAAGAAATCCACTGAAATGATCTGGTACAGGACTGAAGATGTGCAAGAACGGCGCGGTCGTTCAACTATCCTGATGTAACATTTATCAAGAGCACTTGAAAAGATTACAGGAAGTTCTGAATCCTTGGTAGCAAAGTTGTTACAAACTCTTTGTTTAAATACAAATTTATGATCAGAAGTAATCTGGAGGAATGAGTATAACTATGAATAACGAAAAACGATGCTGGAAACAAAAACAGTAACTATTATACTGAAAAACAAACTGGTGTCTTACTGGCAAACTGGTTATTTAACAGGAATCTGAGTTTCTGTGAAACCTCCAGCTGTTTTTAACACACATATTAAAAATATATTGATCAATTGTATTAGGCATATCAAGGCCATTGCAGATAGAAAAAATTGACGAGTAAATTAATGCCAGAAAAGTCAAAATTTTTTAGATTGTCTTTTTCTAGAAAAACGTCAACATTTCTCAATGTTGCCTAGAATATTCCTAGAATTTTCTAGAAACATTTCTAACTTTTAAAAGTTAGAAATGTCCAAGTTTTATAAAAGAGAATTTCTGAGATTAATCACAAAGTTTCTGATTTTTTTTCTAGCAAATTTTCAACTTTTGGAGCTCAGAAAGTAAAAAAAAAAAAAATTCAGGGTTTTTGGCAGAAATTGACTTATCCTTTTTTTCAATCTGCAATTACCCTAATCTGCTGTCATAGCATTACAATGAAGCACAACAAAAACTTTACATTTCTGTTCTGTTTGTCGCTATTGCCCACCATGTGTTGGGTGACGATGACTTTGAGTTCATTGATGATAAAAATGTAAGAACTGTGACTAACTCGTCTTAAATTTTTGCATCATCCTACAGCTGATTAAACTTAGAGCTAGTAGCTCTAAGCTATTAGAAGTAATAAGGTCAACCTGCATTTTTAATGAATTTAAGACTTTTTAAAGTCTGTTTGGAGTTGCTTTGGTACCATAACAAATGAAAGACTCACCAACATTTGACATGTAATGACAGCACTAGTGCTTCAATTGTTGACTTTTATCTGTTTGTTTTGATGATGAAAAGCACTTTGAGCTGCCTTGTTGCTGAAATGTGCTGCAGAAATAAAATTTGATTGATTGATTAAAGATGTTTTGGTCCAACAAAGTACTGACACATAGGTCTGAAAACAAATCCAAAACAAACTGAAATTCCTCTGAGTTTAAGGTTGTAACTGGATAAAATGTGAAGTTCAAGATGTAAGAATACCTTTACAAGCCTGTGGTATAAATAAAAACCAGGGTGGGATTGTCTAATAAATACACATTGTTACCCCATTAATATTTCTGAATTAATGGTGTTTTCATTCAAACTGCCAGCAGAGAGACTTGCTATATTTTGTTGAAAATCCCTGTATGAAGGCTGTGGTGTTGATTTGCACTCTCATATTTTCTAAATTTTATGAAAATATATTGAAATTAAAACTGTCAAGAAGCAGTAAACCAGTCAGAGGAAATTAACAGGACCTTGCTCCTCTACATTCAATGATCTCATCCTCTTCCTTCTGCCTCTGGTGTCCTTTTAGAGCCCTGACCTCCTGCCTGAGTTATTAAACCTTTAATATGAAATCCAATGAGTTTCGTTGGCCCGTTATGACCTGCCAGATGCAGTTAGGTAACCGGCGCATGAATTTTCACCGGTCTCCACAGTGGCGCAGCGGCGGGCCGCAGCATTGTTGACGAGCGGCTAATTCGAGTTTCCGGGTCGGGACGCGCGCCGCACACAGAGCGAGCCGCTGAGGACGGTTCTGATTGGCAATCGTCTCACAGAGATAAGGTCTCGGAGATTCAAAGTGGCTCTCAAGCAGAGATGGGAGTTCATCTTTGAGAAGCTTGTTAGTCTGAAGGATTATCCAAAGCCTTTCAATTTGACTGTCATTAGCCGAAATGTGATTGAATAATAGATGAGTTCCTGTGCGACGCGATGCTCTTGATCTTCGGTCATCTTTTGTGCATCCGAGCATCAAGCAGCTTCTTCAAAACTCTGCCTGTCTCAGGTTCCCAGAGGGACAGTGTCTGTCCTTCACGTCTGCTCTTTGTTTTGGGTCCTTGTAAAAGCCTCTTCTTCTCACATCACTTTGAGTGATGCAGTATTTTCTCCACCTGTGGGACTAAGAGGCTGTCTCCCCTATCTGAGGAAATGAAACAGTCACATATCCGTCTCTTTTATCTGTCGCTGCCTCTCTGTCTGCCTCTTCTTCCTCTTTTATGCCACAGTCTTCCCTGACATCAGACCGTCATTACATTGGGTTGCGTTGGCGTCCTTGTCACACTCATATTTCCCTTTAATTTTAAACAAAAGTCCTCTTCAAATCGGCCTCAAAAACCAATTTCACCTTGTCAAGAACCTGATGGAGCACCCTGCACTCTAATTTCATTTAAACTTCACCCCATATTCCCTTCATCATCTGTTTTCTTCTTTTGTGGTTACAAAACAGAATGTATTGCAAAGAAAACCATTAGTTTCTTTCCAATCCCCCAGATCCTTGCAATCACAAATCACAGAGCTTACAGTTTGCTGGAAATCGTGTTTCCTTGGATCAGAGCCTGTTCCGTTCTACATTCCATCCTTAATTTTCTCCTTTGCATGTGTGTGTGTGTGTGTTTTTTTCCTTCCTGTTCAAACCCCCTCAAACAAAATCCTTAGAAATAGCTTCCACAAAGTTTGGAGCCGACATGAGGATGGAGATGGTGCAGATGATGTTGAAAACGCTAAATGCCACCAGGCACAGGCGATCGATCACAGCGCCTGCAAATTTCCACTGGTCAGCCATGCTCTCGGTCTCGTCCTGCTCTCTGAAACGGTCTGCCATGTAGCGCACCTCCTCCAGGATGGCCTGCAGCTGCGGGTCGCCCATCACAGATGTTGAGCACCCTCCTGGTCCCCCTCCAAAGCCTCCACCACTAGAGACAGTGCTGGGACACCCCACTGTGTCCATGTTGGGAGTTGGAGGCGGAGGGGAGCTGCAGAACTGCGAAGGCAGGTGAGGAGGTGGACTTCCTGCCATCCGGGGAGGTCCTACAGAGATGTTATTCCTCTGGACGGGCTCCGACAGAACCGAAGAGTCCTCGATGCTCGGGAAGCCCATGTAGAGAAGGTTCCCGTTGTTGTTGGCGCTGGTTTGTAGGTGAGGATGACCCGCGTGGAGCGGCCCCGTCTGGAGAGGCGTCAGGTTCTGCGGGTGCAGCGGATGGAGGGTTGCGTCGGGAGGGTTAGGAATGCTGCCGCTCTGTGATCCTGAGGAGCAGCGGCGTAGGTGCGGGGCGCAGGGCGGTCGCTCCGGATCGTCGTTCTCCCCTGGCCGCTTCATCCTCAGGAACCAGGCGACCCACTGCAGCAAAACGAGACGCACCTGCAGGAGACAAAGGAAACACTGAGATACAACTATCCTTCCAAAACTACTCATTCCTGAGAAAATATAATCAACGTGATCCATTATGCGTGGCTTGAACAGGTTAGGTTAAGTCTTTGGATTATAAAAAACATGTTCATTAAGTTTTTTGTCACGAAATCATTTTTGGAGAATCAAGTTTCAGTCTGTTCAGTTCTGCTAACTTCTTGTTATTTTAAATCCAAATAGTAGTGGCTGGCCACGCCCCCTACTCAATGTTCACCCTCGCATGTGAAAATGACTGCAAAGAGATGTACAATTATACAAACATATCTTTCACAAACAGGGAGATGTATGCATGAGCCTCCTGCACCAACAACAAGAATGCAGCAAGTTGTTCTGACTAGTAAGTCGACAACAAAACAGTTGTCTCTTCTAGCAGCTATTAAGCAGCAGTAAAACCAACTGACCAAATGTGCTGGAGCTCCATTTGCGTTGCGAGGTAGCGGGGCTGGGCTTGACAGGGGTTGCTAAACCATTGATTGTAACTGAACATTTGGGAGGTTCTAGTCAAAACATACCTGGAGATTTGTTCGGCTATTAATTAAATTAAGGGGAGTGAATAAAAAATGTATGCCGGATTTTTATTCATATTGCATTACTTTGTGTTTTTTGAGCAAATTAAATGCAAAATGTGGTAAGGATTGGGTTTTTCTGTGTATTTATTTAGGTTTCTGTGTTCTGTTGAGTCTCTGTGTTGTCCCGTCTACCCCTTGATTGTTTACACCTGTCCTTTGTTTCCCTGGATTGTGTGTATTTAATCCCATCTGTGTTCCTTGCTCCTTGTCGGATCCTCGTCTCATGTCCGTCTACCGTCTGCTGCCGTCAGTAGTCAGATGATTTACCAGTTGCTACCAGATTCAGAGTTTTTGCCACTGCTAATCTGTGCTGCCTGGATTGTGTTTATCATTTATTTATCATCACGACTCAACCATCTGGGTCCATCTCTTTATCCTCACCACCCTCAACTACCACATCATGAAAGTCTTAACAGAAAAATTGTGAACATTTTCAAAGACAATCAATGCTTTTGAAGAATTGACTGTAATATCAAATAATAAGGTATTATAAGTATATTAAAATCATTTCTCCTTGATGCTCTCAGAGCTCCAACGAAGCTGTTCTAATGTTTTCAGATGCCGACTGCTTCCAGCATTGTGGTTTGTTTCATTCTGCAGCAGTTTTGTCTCCGTTTAAAGTGTTGGTCTGTAAGAATGCCCGAGGCAAAAAAAAAGAAAGAAGCAAAGATGGGGTTTTTTCTGTATACCTTTGCTAGATTATCAGCAGAGATTCTCAGTTACTTACGAATGTAGCCTTCCATTCAAACTGTGGACTCACTGAGATAGACGACTGTGTGATTACCGTTTTATTGCCCTTATGGGCCTGCAGAGCAGTGTTTCAGTGAGCTACAGCATTAGATTAAAAACAGCACAAATTGGTTCGGATTTAAAACTTCTGTTCCACTCATTCTCTCCGATTCTTTATGAAAAAAAAAAGCCTGAGCTTGCCCTAAAAGGGCAGAATGACCCAGCAGCATCCAGATGGGAGTCTGGTTGCTAAATGAGAGCTAATGTCCAAATGACTGCTCAATTAGTGTCTGCAGAACATCTTTGGAAGTCAACTGATGTTGTTTTTGTGCAGCGCTCTAATTATGAACTGTCCTAATCTGAAGCTCATCAATTAGTTTGCTAATTGGGCATTGCATCGTCAACACGGGCCATTCATCAACTGAACGTCCTTGCAGTATGTCAATGCATAAAGCACCTGCTTGCACAAGCAGTCAGCAAACTTGTCCACATATCAATAATTGAAGGTTCTTCTTTTTGCAGGTAAAGCAGAAAAAAGTAAATCCATGCTTTTAAATATGCTCGAATTTCTACTATAAATTATCCTCGTCAGAACAAACTTTCTTCATGAAGGCATTTTATTTTTTTCAGTATTGAGCAGAAAGTAAGAAAAATAGAAGTAGGGAGTGAGTCAAACCGAGTACACCCACATATCCAGGGTGCTTTGAAAAGCACTCCTGTTGTAGTCTGCGGTGACGCTACTGAAGACTGCCGCTGCTGGATGAGTCACTGCCGATGAAGTCGGCGGATAAAAAGAGAAGCTGGCATCGCAGCATACGGTGCGCTAACGAACGGATAAAGCGAAACTGAGCTGGGCAGAATACGAGAATAACAAGAGTAAGGTTACTATATCAGGAATGCTGAAAAGAGAAAACATGATAAAAATGCAGCTCTGGAAAAAAAATTAAGAGACAACATAAATGATCAGTTTCTATGATTTTACTTTTCATAGGTATGTCAGGGTTTCCCCAACTTTATAATAAGCCTGGCAGCCCACCAGCCTTAGCATTACTTACTTGTCTAAGTCTTTAAAATGTTTGCATTTTTTAAGACTAGGTTGTGTAATTATCAAGTGATATTTTCAAATTTCATGTCAACTTTAATTATATTTTAATCTTCTCTCTCTTCTTCCTCATTTAACACGACAGGCCATAGGATGAACGACTGCCCTAATACCCAAACACCGGGCTTAACAAGTTTTCTGTTTGAGTAAAACTAACATTGTTCTTGTTTTCTATGAATCAACATGTCACCGAAATTCCAAGCAAGAATTGTTTTATTTATTTGCAGAAAATGAGAAATGGTCAAAATAATGAAACAGATGCAGTTCTTTCAGATGTCAAATAAAGCAAAGAAAATAAGTTAATATTCATTTAGAAACAATAATATTAATGTTTTAACTCAGATGGAATAACCAGGAGGTTTTCAGTGCAGTACATTTTTTCCAGAGCTGTTTGTCGTAAAGAGACTTACCCATTTCGGCATGTGCCCTCCGTTTGGATCATGGTGATGATACTGTAAAACCACAACTGTGGCAATGACTGACATTCCAACGATGATCATTATGCTGGCAAAGTACTGACCTGAGGAGGAGGAGGAAGCAGTGAAATCATTCATTTTCAAGTCAGAGCAGCTTGAAAAACATCTGCAAGGTTAACGTCTCAGTTATTCGCCTTCATGTTCCTGGAGTTTTCTGTAAAGTTTATTTCTCTCCGAGCAATGTGAGGTCAAAGATTGAATACTTAAAACATATTCACGTTCTCAAGAGGAGAATTCATTTAAAATTAAATATTTTTTTCAAGGTAACTGAGGTGTGATGGCATCGTTACGGCTCTGCTCACTCGTTCTGTGCATGTCAGCAAAATCAAACAGATTAAGATGAGAGCAGTTTGTCTTTATTCAAGAAAAATGCTGAGAGCAGCACTCTGAGGATTTTTCTGAAGCTTTTAAAAACACAAGGTGTTGTGTCTTCAGGGCGAGATTTGCATCTGTTTCTGGCTGAAGTTTTTTCTCTCTTTAATTTTCTGCACTGTGGCCACAATAAATTTAGCCCCTTAAATTTCAGGGTAAGCAGGTGGCTTGTGTAAATTCAGCTTTTTTTTTTTTTAGGTTATCTTTCTTAGCGCTGCTTTCTTGTAGCTGTATGTTATGACAGCATAAAATGTCCTTACGGTAGCACATAGGTGTGATAAATAAGCTCTCTGTTGTAAACCTGACTTGCTGCAAATCACCGTGTTGCTCAACTGGACCATGGTTTTGCTAGAAATGGACCAGAACACACCAATATTAGTTTACTGATTTAAAGGAGAGGCAATTTGGGGGGAAAAGACCAAAAAGTGACTTGGCATGAATTTGTACCTTGGGATAAAGCAAAACAGGAAGAAGAGAGAAAAGATTAAATGGATTTTGCTGGGAGAGAGATAATGTACTGACTTGATTCGCTTTATTTAAATTAAATTTGAATTTAATTAATGGTTAGCCTGATTGAATGTGACTAAGCTGATTGTACTGTACTGCAGTGAACTTTGGGTTGGAAAAAGTTTGAACATATTGAAACAAAAACGAGTTAAATCTTGAGAAGAGACGACAAAAATAAGTGGGATGAAATTTGCGGGATGCAGGGCTGGGCAACGTGGAAGTAAAGTTTAATAAGAATTATTTATTACTTCCTTTTTAGTTAACTGTATGACGCAAACACAAATACTGCTCTTGGAAAGCACCAATTTGCAATGAGCTTCTTCGCATACAGTCACCAAAATATGTGCTATTTGCATCACATTAATCAGATTTTCAAATGTATTATTTATTGATGCTTTGATTGAAAATAAAAAACAGTTAAGAAAATAGTAAAGCTAACAATCCCAACATTACAAACAGTTTTGAACATCATTAATTGGAATTTATTTTGACCATAACAAATATAAATTGTTATTATACAACATTTATCATGCTAAATAATAAATGATACAATAAATATCAACTCCTTGAGGCGAATAAAAACACTGAAAAAACACAAAATCTGAAATATTTTTGGAGACATCTGCACTTAAAACAAGACGAAACTAACTTTCCAGTAAGATATAAGAGAGTCAATAAAACCTAAATAGTAATTTTAAAATACTGGCTCTATTGTCACTTATAGCAAGACATTTTCACCAGTGGAACTAGCACTTTTCTTTTAATTTTTAAATTCTTAAATTAGGGGGATAAAATGGTTAAATAAAGATTGATGATGAGGATGGTAGAGAAGAATCAAAAGATTAACTAGGATGAAACGGCATCATAGAGAGGAAGTAGAAGGATGAAGAAGGCTGATGTAACAAGGCAAGGATGATGAATTGGATGAAATTACTTCACAAAATGAAATAAGAACGATGAAAACCTTGGATGAAAGTGTGGGACAGAAAAGCTTCATAAAGAGAGACAACACTCATGATGAACAGGATGACAAAGAGGATTTTTAGTCTTTTTCTTTCAGTCTGCCAAACCACATAAGCCTGGAAAGGGAAACCAACTCCTATTTATGATCTTTAAATGCTGGTTTAGTGAAATGTTTTGACTAGACGTCATGAATATTTTATTTAAATTTACATAAAAATAGAAAACATGCTCCCCACGTACCTATGAGCGGGACGGAGTCCGACGTGGCGGGCATTATCTCAGCCACCAGCAGCATGAAAACAGTGAGCGACAGCAGAACGGTGATACCTGCAGGCACGCACACACACACACACACACACACACACACACACACACACACACACACACACACACACACACACATACACACACACACGCACACAGATTGTTTCTGAGGCTTTAGCTACATTTTGTTAGGCAGTCGATACTGTGGTTGGGTTTCCCTGTGTGTTCAGTGTTTTGATAAACGGTTAAGGCTCATGATGGGATCTGGTCGATTTATGTAAATTACTCTCTGAAGCCCCGACACTGAATCACCCCCGACCCGGACGCTCTGCATCTCCACAGCCAAAACAGCAGGAAAAAAATCACCACGCACTGCTGGGAAACACACCTTATGCTCTTCATTTATCCACCTCCACATCATTTATGGTCCAGATTTAATTTAAACAGTGCTTTGCTGGCATAACCGTCTCCAATCCGAACATTCAATTAAACCCCAGAGTTTAGAGGTGAAATATGAGTGCTTTAAGGCTGTTAGGTGGAATAAAAATGCTTCCTTTATGTTTCATTTTCTCCTGTTAAAAGGAGACTCCTTTAACCCTGAGCACTCAGTCCTGATGTCGCGTCGCCATCTGCAGTGACCAGAGTTCAGTTCTCACTGTAGCGAGTTTTCCAGGTGGATAAATTGTCCCAAAGGTTCTTGCGATAAACAATAGTATTGTTGTTTAGAGACTGTCTTGCATGATTAATGATGCGATAACATTTTTTAAAGATCGATAAACTTTAAATTCTAACGAATATTTTACGCTTGAAGTGGAAAACATTTCAAATATCCAAAATGAATGAACAAAAACAAGAAATAAAATGGATTATGACGTCTCTGTAAACCAGACAAAAGCACCAAACTGAAACTTTTGTCATCCAGTTTTGGGTAAATAGAAAGAGAGAAAAAAAAATGACTGAGCTTCAATTTATTATTTGATTTATTGCCTTTTTGCTTAGCAAAAAAATACAAAAAATCTACTCAAGTAGAAGTAAAAAAGTATTTGGTAAAAGGTTAAAATTAAGTACTGAGCAACTCATCAAAGCACCAATAATTTAATATTTAAAAATTACATCATAAGGTGGATCAAAATATAAAGTTATGTGGAAATGGCATTTTAAGTATAAAAACTTTAACAAAAACTGCAGGTTTGTGTCTTTATGTGGTGACGTTTTGGTTTAAACATGTTTGTCATCCTAATGGGTAGAAAATAAAAAAAATTTACTCAAGTAAGAGTAGCGATACTTCATAATAACATTACTCAAGTAAAAGTAAAAACTAATATTCCCAAAAGTATATATGCATGGTTACAAGTTACTTAAGTAAATGTAACAGAGTAAATGTACTCAACTCTGGAAGTGACAGTCTTGTATTTTACGTGAAGTCAGTGCGTGCGCCTTCCCCCAGAATCAATTCACTAGAACTTAATTCCATCAATAGGTTAATTGGCTGCATGTGTGTGAGGCTTTTTTCTCCCTCCTTTGGAGAAATGCTGTATAATCCATCGTGTATTGAGGTTGAGGAAATGTTTTGACAAAGCTGCCGTGGCTTCCCTCCCAGTTTCCTCCCACTCAGACTGGAGGCAAACAGCATTTTTAAAAATATATTATCGTCCATTTAGATTACAGAGTGAGAGGACAGAGAGTGAAAATGAGGCTGCTGCTCCCAGATTTCCTGAGGTTTCCTTTAAGGGGATGTTAAAGTAGCTTTTAGTTCAATTCAGTGAAACACAAAATGGGCCAATTAGTTTTGAGAGAAACACAAAGGAGTGGCTGAGAACTGAGGGAGTTTGATATGTGCTTTCTTAAAAGGCTGAAGTTTCTTACATGTCATTATCTCTGCTCTTTAAAATCAAGATAATAGTCTCGAGTCTTTAATGCTCAGACGGCATGACTGTCAGATCCTAAATGAGGGTGACAGTGAAATTAAAATTTAATTTTGCAGCACTTCTTCTATTCTTTTTATTCTATTACAGTCAGTCTCGCCAGTCCTTCGTTTCTTCTTTCATCTGTCCTCCATCACCTTTTTCTAATTCTTCTCTCAACTTTTTTTTTGCTTTTTTCCCACACCCGCTGCCGCTCTCTATTTGTAGTTATCCAGTAATCCCTCTACTCTCACATCCTCTCTCCCTCCCGGTTTGCCTCCTTTGTGCCTCGTGATAATCTCCTGAGCCGCTCCTGTGCCTTCGCTCTGTGATATTTCGCAATGTTTCACTTTAAAAGACGGCCTATTTTCAGAAGTTCAGTCTGCAGGCAGTGAAGTCAGAGATTTGATCTGTTTATAGGACTTTCCTCTTGGAGGAAACAGATTGTTCTGAAGGTACACTGCTTCAGTTTCTTCTTTTGTCTGTCTTGGCCCGACATTTTGTATTTCTGGACCAGCGCTGATTAAACCATCAAAGTATGAGATACAAGTTTTAACTAAGGGACCTATGACTCTGAAGGGAACTGAATCTTCAGGAACTGTTCACTTTAAAGAGTCATTAAAAAGACAGTGGTTTGAACATTTACTTTTTCAAGGAAGAAGCAAATTCATACCCAATACTGTTTTTAAAATTCACAAAAATGTAGAATTATCTGTATTAAGTACAAATATAACCACAGTATGTTCTTACAAACAAAATAGCTGTGTATTCTCATAAAATACAACATTTTAAAATATAGATGTCAAACAATTGTCATTCTTAAAGACAAGTGTTTTGTGCATTAGTAACATTTTAGGATTATTTGTGATTTAGAAGCATAAGAAAAGAAAACATTGATTTCAGTGAACAGGATCGTTAAAAAGACACATTTTTGAAAATTTACTTTTTTCCAAGAACAAGCCATTTTATCACTAAGAATACAGTTTTTTAAATTCACAAAAATGTTCATTTATCTGTATCAGGTAAAATTAATATTTATTCAAATCCAACCACCAATTTAGAAGCATAAGGGAAGAAAACAAATCAACTGCTTTAGCAGAAACAAAAATCCTCTTCTGCGCCATTAAATATAGAAAATATCCACCCATTTCTATCCACTGACTCAATAATATTAAATGAAATAAAAATAACAATAGTTTTGATGTGTGCGCCGAACATTATAAGGAGTCTAAATTGTAAAAAACAAAGAACAGTTCTTGCTCATTGAGACTCAAATTCTACCGTTCACGACAAAAGAATCAAATTGTCCGTGAAAGACACATCAATACTTATAACCCACACAAACACCAGAAAAACTTGAGAATCACAAGAAATGCTAGTTAGGTTGCTCAGTGGTTATTGCCATAAATAGTGATTAAAAGTCAACGACATGGCAGCAAGAATGAATTTCGGTAGGTTGACATGTTGAAGACGATTCGCTGAAGGGACACAGATGGAACCTTGAAGCAGACAGGCTGCAGCAGCAGAGGACAACACAGCGTCTGCCTCCTGTCAGCTGAGACAAGGAGGCTACAGTTCACATCGTTTCACCAACACTGGACTGGAAAAGTGGTGCTAAGTCTCATGAGTCTCAATGTCCAAGAATCCTGGACAAATGAAAACATGCAACTCCCTTCCTTCATCTTAAACATAAACGTTACCGTTACTAGAGATGTTTAAAAAGCCTTGTTTAATTAAGAGTTATACTTTATGAGTCAATATGCTGTTACTAATGCTATATTAAATGTGTGAAGCCGAGGAAGAGCAGGCATTGTCACAGCGATGGCTAATGGGAACCCAAATAAACAAAAAAAATAAAAATATCAGCTGAGACATTCAGAAAGTAGGGTGAGAAGTTGGAGAAAACAACATGAGAACATTATCCCACCTGCTGCTGCTGATATAATGATGTGAGGATAATTACCTGGCTTACTTTGGGTTACAGTTAATAACTGAGCATTGTTTAAATTTCCCAGCCTGCCTTAATATTTTCTAAAACAATTTATTGATTTAATCGTGATTAATCGATTACTGAAGTAATTGTCAACTAATTTAATAATTTATTAATCGTAACCTTTAGCGTACAGACTCAATAATATGCAATTTTCTGAAAGGACAGAAACTTTAGAGTAGATATTAAGTCAAAAATGAAAGAAGAATATTTGCATTGAATTAAAAAACCTTCCTAGAACTCACGTGGCAACGTTTTAACCTGGTTATAATTTGGTAAAAATCTCCTAATAATCACTGTTTGCAATCAAATTATTAGTCGATGAATTGAAAAACTAGTCAAGAGATAAATTTTAATTATTGGTTTTATTTGACTTTTTTATGTATTTTATAAATTTTATAAAATAAGCTTAACGGGTCACAGGATGTGCCAGTTTGGGGTTTTTTTTTCTTATCTATTTTCCAACAGGATTATGGTCTATATCAAAACATTAAAATAATCTCAAACTATTGAATTGGGAAAAAAAATCTTTAAAAAATACTTAAAACAGAATTTTTTTTATTACAATAATAATAATAATAGTTGCATCTAATGCCAGGAGTCGGTGTTGGATTTGCAAATTTGCCAACATAAAATGGTGGAGTCATAAAAACAACAAAAATAAAAAAAGAACACTGAACAATTTTCTAAAGTAGTTCCCTGAAATAAAGATCTTTGACAGCAGCATAGCAGCTCCAAGTGGAAAAACAACATTAATGTGGCAACTTAACAACTATCAGGATTCTTCACCAACTCAAGAAATAAACGTTGGGTAAATCCAGAAAGTTTCTGACGTTATGACCCAACGTCAAAAACAGTTTGTATTCACAAACACTAAAACTTGAAGATTTGGAGATATGTTTCTGCTGCAGAATCAAATCCTAAAAATTATACAAGAAAAATGAGTTTCACTTCTTCACTTTATTTTTTGCGGCGCTGATTATGTTGATGACCTCGAGATTTTGTTCACAAAAACATCCAGCTGCTTTTGTAGAATAAATGACGCACGTATTCTGCTGCAAACAGAATACTGCAGTATGGTTCAGTTTTTAAAGTATTTTTATTTTTTTGTGGCCACGGTTTTCTGATTTGTTTCGAAGATGTCAATTTAATAATCAACTGGAGCAAAGAGACAAGGTTGACAGGATGCAGCAATCTAATCAGAACGAGTCTCGGCACGTCAGACGAAATCAAAACTTTTGCTTGTCTTGTGCTTATTATGAACAACTCACAGCTGTCTTCAACCAGACATGGCAGCAAGATGCCTGGAAAAAAAAAATCATATTTTTACGCCTGCTGGTCGTTCTGACTCTTCACTGGATTGATTTTCTGACAACTTTAGAAACAGCGTAATAGGAGAAAACCAAAATTACATAAAATATTCTAATATGTCCTGGTCAACTTGGCATCTTAAACTCCAAAATAGACAAACATTTTACAAGACAACTCTGTCTTTAACAAAAACAGACTTTTTGCAGGAATATAAACGGTTTTCTCTTCATGGGAAGCAAATCTAACCCGTCTTTAAGCTATTATTCAAATCTAACGAGCTTGTTAATGACTCTCTTAGCAGCTTCATTCCTCCCAGTGGAGCTGTTCAGGAATAATGGGTTATTATTAAATAATTTATTTAAAAACATGTGCATGAAGTGAATCAAATGTCTGAACACAAACATAAGTGTGCTACATTTTAGCCGTGATGCTAAATTGTGCGTGTTTTTTTGTTTCTTTGCATTTGATTTTGACGTGTCGCCTCTTTGTTTGCACCTTCCTGAAGTTAAAGTTTTGCAGTTGGAGTAAAACCAAGCAGCTTCACCGACCGCCCACTCTGATCCACTCACCCAGTGAAATCTTCTCTCCAGAGTCGGCTGGCAGCACGAAGATCAGCAGGGTCATGGAGGAAAGCAGAACGCACGGGATGAGCAGGTTCAGGGCGTAGTAGAGCGTCCGCCTCCGGATCGTGATCACGAACGTCACGTCTGGGTACGGCTCCTTGCAGCAGTCGTAGAAAACCTCATTTCTGGTGCCAGGAACACCTAAAGGAATGCAATCAGATAAACTTACTCCGATTACTTATGAGTAAAAGTTTTTTTCTGATGTTTTTTTTTTCTTCTTACCAATTAAGTCCCACTCTCCGTTGGGCATGTATCCCGAGATGTCAGCATCGGTCATCTGGAGGTCCAGCAGCCAGCCGTCGTACGTCCAGGAGCCAAACTTTAACTCGCATTTCTGGATGTCGAATGGGAACCAGCGGACATCCACATTGCATGTGCTCATAAAGATTCCTGCAGAGACAGACCAAGATGCATTTGAGGATCAGACGAGCTCTGCAGCCCGGCCAATAGCAGGAGTGCAAAGAGTTTACAGTTTGAAACTTAGAAAGAAGCCTGAAGAAAAGAAAGCTGACTAGATAACACACTGCCTCCCATCAAAGGCATGTCTGTGTCTTTTCTCTGCTTGTCAGATTCTCTCTTCTCCGCTCTGCCGGCACACAGCTGTTAGCTGAGCATCAACAGAATACAAATATTCCCAGCACCGCTGAAAAAATTAGATTACAGTCACTGCCCTAATGAGATTGCCCCCTTTAAACATGCAAAATAAATTCCCTCACACGTATGCATCAGCACGGCGCCCTTCCCAGGCTGTTATCCCTTGGGAATCACAATGATCCACACAGCGGTTTTCTGGCAGGATGAAGCTCTTAATGTACTTAAAGGACAAAATTAATCAGGCCTGTTAAGACATTCACATACACAAACAAAATGTCATGGAAGCCTTGCAGCTAACAGAGAAGTTCATTGTGAACTTGTCGATATGCAAATCAGCTCTCAGAAAAAGTTAGCAGGCTTTTGAGAGCATGTAGAGGTTAATCTCTCATTTGTAGTATGAAATTATTTTCATGCACTTTTTGCACTGGAAAAATGGGTTCTTGCACTTGCTTCATGGGGGTGAAATTGTTTTTAGCAATCACATTATTGGGAACCAGAAGGAAAAAAAAAGATAAGAAATTGTACGATTCAATTTCCTTGCAAGTATTAGAAGACGCAGTAGTGGTGGGTATTGTTGTATTCTCACCATTCAAGCTGCCATTCTGGAAAAAACAGAAAAACTTTTTTTTTTATTTAATTGCTTTGTGAAATCACAAGTAACAACTCAATGTTCAGAACATAAATGTTGTCTTAATTCTTGTAATTCTTCATTTTTAATTAGTTTTTCTTAGTTTTTAATAACGATTCCTCGAGTGATTCGAGTACCTCAAAGCTTCGTTAAGTTACATTTTATTATCTAGCACACTGTGTTCTGGCCATGTCATTATTTGCGTTGTGCGGAGCTCTCACTTCAGCCTCTGAGTTGTTGACGAAATTTTCAACATAACATCCGATTTTCAAGTTCAACATCGGACGATTTTATTGATTGATGACAATGTCTGGGCAAGCAGAGAGTTCATCTATTAAATTGACTGGAGATGTATACATAAACAAAAAGCTGGAGTATAGACATTGTAAGCATATTTGTGAGCCTGCCTTTTTATTATTACATTTAATATAATTTTATATTTTTGTTAACTTTTCTTCAGGTTAACTGAGAAAGTGAGCTATTATTGTTACGAGTTTATTTTCTAAACTACAGAAAAGTAACTGTTAGGGAAGCTCAACTGTAAAAAAAATTGCACTGATGTCGATATGGGATAGTAATCCTGCTGTTATGTTAGATTTACCAATGTTTTACTTTATCATTTTTTGTCCGATTTCTCGTAAGAATAACCGATAGATTACTCGATTACTAATATATTAGTTTACATTAACCCTATTTTTAATGACTTGGTGTAAGATCTCATTAAAACGACTTCTACAACTTGAGAAATGTTTTTTTATAATATGTCATGGTTATTTACAGTGACTTCAAATGAACTCTAAAAGTGAGTCTGGTCTGTGCTGATTCCTAAGAATGAAGCTTTTAGCAACGAGGCTCATTGTACACACCCAAACCTTCTCCAATACAAGAGCCAAAACCATAATTCAAGTTTGTCTAAATAGACGCCAAACTTGAATTAAAGTAAGAAGTTTCTGCTTCTTTTAATTCAGTCAATCATTAGCTAAAAGATCTTAACGCAATTAGTCATTAATATAATAATCCTTAAATCCATGTAAATAATTTGACAGGTGATAAATAAACATTAGCTGAGATAAATCTTACCATTCCTTCTTTGAAGTATGTGAGAACTGATTAGAAAGTAATTCTTTCATTTACTACCACAGTAAATTGTCTGTCTTATGCAATAAAAGATTAAATCTTACACTTGTTTGTCAGGACAAAGTCATATAATAGTCATATGAATCCACAATAATCCCATGCAAGACAAAAAAAAGCAACAGATTTTTTTGTTTTTTTTCTTCAACCTCTGTCAAAAATTTCTCAAGGCTCCTGGGTTTTTCTTTTGTCACTGTCACAGAGAAGAGGCAGCCCTTAAAATAAAGCAGAAATAACTTGCCTTGGAGGCATTATATGGCCTTGAAATAAGATTGTCTCATTGTAAATGCCACAGTGGAGAGAAGAGCTGAAACTTTCTGCACCTTTTGTCTGAAATGTCATTAATCAGAGCAAAGCATTCACAAGCTGGCATGCAGAGAAATCTGATTATCTGCCTATATTTTGTTTAAGAAAAGCACCGACCTCATTATTGACAGCCTGGTATGTGGCAAAAACCTTAAAATATTTAGAAAAATATACTGAATAAATCTAGTCAATAGGGGAAAATATATTTAACTATTAAAGTCTTGGTACTTTTCAGCAAACTCTACACGTTTACAAGGTGGAAAGACAGAAATGCTCTGCATGTAGATGGCATCTAAAAAAGACTAATACCTAAGACAGACTTCACGCTTTGAAGCAGTTCTCAAACAGTGAGCTTTGAAGATTTTTTTTTTTATCTCTCTTACCATCCAGCTCACAGCGCGTGGGAGCAAGATAAATATGAGCCCTCATCCAGCCTGATAGCCAATGGCTACAAGAAGTAGTTGTGCCACGTTTTTTGATAAGATAAAGATAACAGAAAGTCATAGAAACTCAAAAAAACTAAATAAAAAGCACATATGACAGTAATTTTCCACTAGCGATTTCAATAAAGCAACACGGTTTGTTTTCCTCCACTGAATAAATTTCCTCTAATGTAATAAGAGATAATGCTACTGCAATAGAAAATTGTTATCCATATTTATAAGTTATTTAACTAGATTTGGCATACATGTAGCATTTTATTTACTGTCAATAAGATGCTCAGTCGCAGCTCCAAGTAGATTTATATCATTGGTCAGGCCATCAAAAACCTCTCCACTTACTTTTCCACACCTGAGTTTTTTTCTTTAAACGCCCCCTTTACTGAATCTGAACTAAACCTCAGCAAAGAGGAGACATACATAGAGGCTCAGCAGCAATGATTCAATAAATCTGGTCCATAAGCTGAATGATGTCCACGACTTTTACTGTAGTGGGTAATTGAAGCTCTAACTCCCAGCTGCACAATGGGATTCACTCTAAGGCTCTTTTAATCTGGGAGGGCCTGAGAAAATACAAAGCAAAGACCCATGAAACCCTGAGGGAGTCCTCACCTTCCCAGAAGTGTGGGAGAGTCTGTCGTAAGGTTTAGAAATAAGGAGAAGGAAGTGAACGCTGTAGGCAGTTTATACTCACAAATGTTGTTTTTCTATCAATGAAATATTCATGTCAAATGTATAAACAAGAGGGTATGGAGAGAGTGCAGAATGAGCTGCTGCACCTCTGGGAAATGAGGTATCAGACAGCCATGATGAAAGAGGACCAAAAATTATATACAGAACAGAAAATTGGAAAAGTATTCATAGGACTTCACCTTTTCCACATTTTGTCAACATGAATGTATTTATTTGTGACAAACCACCGCAAAGCAGCGTATAATTGGGAAGTAGAAGGAAAAGTAATTCAGCTCTTTTAGAAAAATTGATAAAGTAACATATAGTGGTCCACAAGAGTCAACAAAATGCAAAAACCGCAACAAAACAGCACAGCAAAAGCCACAACAGAAGCTATGCTAAAACGGAAGTTATGCTAGCATGCTTATTATAGCTTCCGTTTCAGCTTAAACTCGGTTTTAGCAAAAGATTTACATGTAGCATAAATTCGGCTTTAGTATAAATCTTTTTATAATATAAATTAAGTTTCATCGTAACTTTATTTTCGGCTAAACTTCCACTTTAGCAAAAAGGGCTTCATTATAACTTCCGGTTTAGCTCAAATTCAGTAGCATAGCTTCCGCTTTAGCATAAATTTTTAACGTATATTCGGCCTTAGCATAGCCAAACCCTTCTGTTTGGCTTTTGTTTTTGTTTTGTTTTGTTTGCGTTTTGTAATTAACATTTTTTTCAACAAAATAAAAATGCAGAACAAGAATCCAACCTGGAGGGAGATACTTTGCAAAGCCGCTGGAGTTTACCAGAATGTTGGTCTTAAAGGTGGAGTCGAAGTCATCATCTGCACTGAGGGAGGAGGACAGGGGAGACAAGTGTCACCACCTGCAGGTGTGCTTCACTGTGAACAGGTGTTTACTGTGGTCAGGTGTTTTACCTGTTGTAGAGCAGAATATCTGGAGTCCAGATCTGATCTGTGGTGAAGCGGAGGTTTTTCACACCGGGGTGGTCGCTCTGGTTCCACTGCAGGTAATGGTCGTACCAACTCTTTAAACCAACACAGACAGATAAGATGATGTGGCCCAGCAGATTTACAGGAAAGACACTTTATCTTCTGTTGCAGGTGAGCAGAAATAGATTAATACCAAAATACTCTCCCCTGCCAGGAAGGAAAGTGTTGCAGGCACTTTTTTAAAAAGTTGACAATAGCAACACAGAGAGTTGCTTCAAATATTTGCAAAGACTGCTACATACAGTCTTCTTCAGAACATACTAACTTAACAAATATAAAACATCTCTTATGATTAAATAGCATGCTTTTAGTTCAAATGTATTAATTACTCATGTTAATTTCCACCAGTCATGATAAAAAACAATGTACATGCTATTAATTAATTAAAGTTATTATTATTAAGTAATAAAACAATATGGTCTTTATCAGGACCTAAAATAAAAAATTAACTTCTAATTTAATACACTTGATAAATTCATCACCAGCAGGTGTGATCACTTCTGATAATTGCAATTCTTTGCTGTCAACAGTGCATTTTTCCAAATACCTCACAACAAATTTTGCTGCATTAAATCAACATTTAAAGAGTTAAATTTAACACTGTATACAAATCTGTTGGTCCTTGTCAAAATTAGTGTTAATTTAACTTTATCTGCGCCACTCTATCTGTTGTTGTATCAGCTCTGAAGAAGAGTCAATTAACTTTCACACTGTGTATTTAATTATCCTAAAAAAAAATCAACTGTCCAATTAATGTCAAGTATTTCTCAAGAAAAAACTCCCACAAGGTGAAAACATAAAAATAAAGTTTCAGATCTTCCCAGATCTCCCAGCTAATTCTCAACAAGTTGGTGCAATGCCCCCAAAAAGTTACATTTCTAATAATTTGGGCCACAGTAAGCTTATGAAATATTAAAGTTCTTGGTATTTTCATTTGAAAACAAATCCCCGAAGTTGTCTGATGATAGTTGATGATTTAAAGTTTTTTCAGAGCCAGAAGATTCTCTTAGTCAAACAGCTGAAGCTTAGCTTGGCAAATCTAGACCAAAATGGCTGAACAAGAAAAGAGCAGCGGCGTTGGAACGCTTCCTTGAGAGAAATATGCATAAACCAATATTTGCAAACCTACATGAACTGAAGCAACACTATGAAGAATAGTGGATAATAATCCCTCCACAATGATTTGAGAGACTGGAGGTCAGACAGAAAAACTGCTTCTGAAGGTATGTGTTCATTTATCTTTCAGAAAGCTATTCTTAGTACAACCTGTTGAGTGTTTTAGTAATTTCAGAACCCATAAAATACCAGATTTATTTATTTTTTGTCCAAACTACGAAAGAAAGTGTAAAGCCTTTTTACTATGAACGCATTTGCTCAGCTGAATTAAGGCATCGCCTTTTATTTTGTTTTGGACAAGCAATCATTTAGCCCTATTGGCATTTCCAAGGAGAGGCCCATTTTTCATAGCTCCAAATTTAGAAATACTGGATTACAGAGAGTCTTGTGACCTTAATTTGGTGCTAGACATCATATAAAGTGGTTCATAAAACATACACACCCAGAACACCAGAAAAGTCAAACACCTAGTCCTTACCATTTGAAGCCACATGTTGGAGGTTAACACCTGGTTCTTCTCATCCTGAAACATATTTAAGTAGTTTCTTTAAAAATGTAATAAAAAGTGTATTTGAAGGCAGATAAATATAAAATGTAACAAAAAGAATGTTAACAATGCTTCATTTTCAGGCTTTCTATAATTTATCAATATGATGATTATAACCACATCATGAAGAATTAAGGAAATATGTTAGCACAGTCAACAAATTGTGTTTGTGTAACTACTTTCTGTTCTTTAATCGGTGATGGTATTATAGAGGTGCCTGGAAAATCAAGTCTTAGAAAATCAAGAGGGAAGTAAAAGTTAAACTGTGGTTATATGTGCAAAAAGAAATAAGTCAGAAGAACCCACTGATGTTTCAGCACTAAAAATATTAAGGTGTTGTCCTTGATATTCCTTAACTGAGGAAAACAAAAAAAGAGCATTTGTAATGTTGTTTTGCTGATAATATGCTGTCAAATACTCCTCAGTGTAAGCAGGAGTTCAACAATCTGTGAAATCAAGCAAGCTGAAAAAAGAGTCAGTCCTTTCTCCTTGTTCAAATACAGAAATTTGTGTTTTTTAAGGAGTTCTGTAGGACTTAACCCTTCAATACACAGAGAGGGCGTTAAACGTAAAAAACAACAAAAAAGCTGAATGTCATCTGCATGGAGGTGATTGGAGATTTCACTTAATAAACGGGAAGCAAAACAGCGAAAATGAAATAAATGGGGCAGAGAACAGAACCCTGTGGAACTCCGTGATTAAAACACAGAGTAACTGAAGACGATTTAAAGGTTGACTTAGCTACAGGGATACTTAATAAACCAAATCATAGCTGTAACAGATGAGAGCTCAACATATCGGTCATATATGATATGACATATCGGCCATCTTACTCTAGATGTCCAGAGTAAGACAGCCGTGGATCAGAGCACCTCTGCACGAGCAATTAGAGATTCTAAGGAGAACCAATTCAATGAAGTGAGTTGACAAATCCAAAGATGTTTTTTACTGATGTAAAAATATAGAAAAGCCAATCAATAACAATATGCACATACCACGTCCATAATCTGTATCAAACTGAGGGTGAAGAAGACCGTCAGAGGATGGGAGTCATTCCCCACTGGCCGCTCCATCCGGTTGTAGTCCTTCAGGAGGTTTTTCAGCAGGTTCCTCTGGTGAGGCCCCTGCAAAGACACTAAATAAAACAACAAAACAAGACTTACACCTGGGAAAAATGATCACATGTGATCAAGCCCCCAAAAATCACAAAGGTTATTCCAGCCCTGAAGGAAATCCTTAACCAGTGAAATGGGTTTGGGATTACATAACTCCTACAGGCGAAAGTTATGTAGGAGTTCCGATCCGTTCAGATCGGAACATTTAATTAAGAGAAAATTAATATTTTTACATATAAAATCAAATTTTAGGGAAATGTGACTTGAGTGAAAAGTTAATGGGGGGAAACAAGTTGTGTAATTGCAGAATTAGTTCATTATTATATCACTTACAGCCACACTTGTATTTACTTTTGTTGTCTCCTAATGAGACGGGAGGTAAAGGTCTTGCTCTTCACTCAGAATAAATCATTCAACAATTATAACAGATTAATATAATCCAGTGGGAAATTAAAGAGAGAATTAAAAAAAAGGCACTCAGACAATCCTCAATGAACCAATTAAAAATGCTAACAAACTATTTCAGGGCAAAAGTGGCTTAAACTAGTGTATAATTAGATTGCTTTCAAAGGTTTGGAGGTCGAATGCAAATGAAACGAGTAATTAAATATGTAAGGATTATTTTTGCATAATTTCTAGTAGGCTTTTTCCACATTTACTAAACCCTCCATAGAGTTTTCTGTCTCCTTCAGGGCTGTAGAGATCCTGACGCTCTGAAATATTGAATATTATGAAACGGTAGTAGAATCATGCAAGTAGGTTTTATGAGATGCTCCTCAGGTTTTAGTGGGACAAATGTTTCTTAATCTGGGAATAATGAGCCATGAAACAAACATAATTGGACTTTTCAAAGCAGATAACTCTCTCTAGAAGGATTTCTGACAACAAAAAACTTATAAAAACAAAGAAAGTTTCCACATTTCAATAAGAAATTGTTGTATATAAGAAAAAAAACAACCATAAAATACAGTTGAAGATAGATAGATAGATAGATAGATAGATAGATTGATTGATTGATTGATTGATTGATTGATTGAAGGAAAACAAGGTGGTAGAAGCATTATGCTGTGGGATTGCTTTTTGTTTACCAGGGAGGAAAGTAGATAAAGTTGCTGGCAATCCATCAGATTGACACAGTATGTTGTTATTTTTAGTGAACAACAGAGTTTAACAAGAAAAACCTGTTTTTAAGTCTTATTGGCTACAAGATCTACACCAGATAGATGATTACCGAAAAGACCTCAAGTTTTTGCCCACTTTTTTTCTGCTATTTTCTTAAGACTTCAGTTTCACACACTGCTCAGTGTTCAAGTAGCTTTAAAAAAATAAAAGAGACACTTGTTATTCCGTCCACGTTTTATTAATTCCCATGCACATACTTGAAAAGTTCTGCTAAAGTCAAACACAGACTGCACAGAAGAAGAGAAAAAGCAACTGAACTCAGGAGAAAACCTTATAACAACAAGACAGAGTGTGATTAATATTATTGCACTTCTCCATAGTGCTGTGAAAACGGAGAAAGGACGGTGATGTGAGTCAGAGAAACATCAGGCAGCTTGCTCTAAAGCTCCTCAGAGTGAAAGAAGCAGCGGCTCTGGATTCTTCAGAGCGTTTCTCTTTCTGCAGCAGCGCAGTCTGAAACTTTTACCTTCCTGTCCTCCTGTCTTTCATGTCGTTCTGGTTTTTCATCTACAGCCTGACTATCTCGCTCGTCGCCTGCGGGGAAAGTTCCCCCCATCTGCCTCTCAGCTCCGTCATCCGCCGTCAGCCCGAAACCTATTCAGCTTCCCGGCTGCAGCAACAGGGAGGCGAGATGCAAGATGCTGATCTGTATGTGTCGTTAAACTGACGGGCTTCTTCTGCAGGGGGGATTTACCTTGAGCTGAGCGCAGATTTGGACGGAAAGAAAATGTTGGAGTAACGAAATATTCTGACAACTCGGATTGTTTTGCCTGCTGCGTCTGTCATCGTGATGTCAATCTGCCTGGTTCAGAAAAAAAAAAAAAAAGCCATCCAAGCGCAGGACATATGTCTCCAGACAAATAAGAACACATTCATCTAAAAGAAAGCCCTAGATGTGAATACACAAGCAAACAGGTGAGCAATACTCTCACTTTTTTCTCCCTAAAATGTGTTTTGCTTTATGATTCATCAGATGAAGCAAAAGAAGAAAAAGCACCCCGTTCCTGACTGTATTCCTATAAAATGCCACTGCTGCAGCCAGAATCCTGAATGAACGAGGAGGGGAGATGAAGTCAAGCTCACCGTTGATCAAAGCGGAGAGTCCAGAGAGGAGCAGAGCCACAGAGTGCCACATCCTGGTCGGGAACAACCGGAGGGAAAAGAAAACGGAGAAGCTGCAGATGTCAGAGGAGAAGGGGATGGAGAGAGGATGGAGATGTGAGCGGAGCTCCGCATCCAGTCGGCATCAGATGGGAGCAGCGTGAGCATGTGCTCGCTGGAGGAGGAGGAGGAGGAGATGGAGGAAGAGGAGGAGAAGGAGGAAGAGGAGGAGGTGGAGGAGATGGGAGCTCTGTCTGCCTCTCAGGGGAGGTGGGTCTAAAATGGAAAAGCAAGAAAAATGTCAATGATGCGAGTGAAAGGGTTGTAGATAGAGAAGGAGGGTGAGAATGGAAAGGTTTTAATTGGTTGAACAGATGATGAAGATTGTTGGCAATATGAAAAGATGAGACCGTTCATGTAAACAGTGCAGAGAATAGAAACTATATTCAAGAATTCACACTTGATTTTATCTTTTATTGTTAAATAATGATGAATAGAAATGTATAAATATAAGTTCTAAATATTTATCTTTTTGATTTGTTTATTTAATTTTTCAATGACTGATTCATTTTTTATTTATATTTGTATTCAATTAAAACTACATATCTACGATTAAAAAATATATAATTTGTCTGTTTTAATTAATTTATTTTATTTTGATTTTTGAATTATTCTGACTTGAATTTATATTTTATTATAATTGTATTTTAAGACATAACAATAAACATTTAAATTTGTCATTTCCATTTGTGTATTTATCTATTTATTTTATTTTTGGCCATAAGGCAGGTTTGTGACAAAAATGCTGCATGTCAAATATTTTCACAATTTGGACCCTGTGTAGGTCTGTTATAATAAATAAAAAGAATGAACTAATTTGACTAATTAAAAAAAATGAAAACAGTTACAAAAATACTTGAATGACATTTATTAATTCAAATAATAATAATTAAAAAAAAAAGATTTAAAATTCTGCTGAGTTTTCTCCTCGTCCTTTAGTTTATAATCAGTAGTTCATCATAAATCCATCCTTCACACGCCCTGCTTTGTTTCTCTCTTGTTAACATGCGCTGCACAGCAGGTTTCAGAAAATCTCCATGGCAGATTCTTTCACTCGTGATAACACTCCACGGTGGTGACGGCCACGCACCGCGGGGCTGAAAGCCCTGCGTGTGTGTGTGTGTGTGTGTGTGTGTGTGTGTGTGTGTGTGTGTGTGTGTGTGTGTGTGTGTGTGTGTGTGTGTGAATCAGCGGTGCAGACGGACTCCGGTTTAATTGAGAAAGTGCTGGGCTCTGCAGGAGGACACTGGGAATGTGCATAGTTAAACTCTACTCCTCATTTGTCCTGGTGAAATGCTGATGCAAGGGCAGAGGCAGCGAGAAGCTGAAAGACCGAGGCACAGAGAGAGAGAGCAGAGGAGAGGAGAGGAGGAGGGCAAGAAAATGAGGAAGAAAGACTTAGACTGTATAATAGATTACCCTATTACTTCTGCTGCCCTTCGGAATTACCCCCCCTCTCTCCCAGGAAGCCTGTCGCACATCCGGAGCTGCACATTCATGCTCTGCTGCACACAGAGGATGGAGAGCGGGTCCTTTGAGGCGAAAAGAATGATGGCAGAGTCAAGAAGAGCAGAAAAAAAACTGCACGTTTGGAGCAGAATCTAATCATCATGTTGCTGGTTTAGTTTAGTTTTTTCAATTTGTGCCACGCTGATTTTTATTTATTTATTTATTTTTCTGCACGTCACGTCGTTGTGCACCGAGCAACCAGTGAGACACAGAGCCAACAAAACTAAATTCATTAGGCGTCGTAAAGACGCGGCTCGGAGGCGCTGAGGCGTGGGTGACATCTGGTGGTTTGTTTTCCAAGTGCGCGTCGCGCTGGAGCTCAGCACCGGCAGGAGAGGCTGTCAGGAGCCGGTCTCAATTAACAAGCAGGGGGGGTCGGATAAGCACAGCAGGGCGGAAATGAGATGTTAATTATTACACACACACACACACACACACACACACACACACAAAATAAAAATAAAAATTCAGAGAAGGAACTGAGTTAATTCCACTAACAGTGCTTTGTAAAACTTACCTTTGCCTATAGACCAACATTTCTCGTTTTTAGGAAAAGTGTAATAATTTCATGGCATTTTTGTGCCAGGAATTTTGGGCTTGTCACAAAAAACCAAAAGTCTATTTGAGTCTATCTGATCCATCAAACGCTTTACATAAATAACTTTAAAGACTTGCAGGTTTCTTGCTTCGTTTGATCCAGTTTATTTATTATGTATCTGTTGTGACACTTCACAGTACAATCAAGTAAAAATGTTATAAAAAGGCTACCTATATCAAAACATGAAAGGAAATCTGACTTTGCAATTCAACATTTTGAAATTGGGCCTCTGTCTCTTTAAAACTTCCTGCTCTTTCTGAAACTCTGCCTTCAGGAAGTCATCGCAACATTGTTTCTCCATTAATTCTCTAAGAATGTTTTTACCAGCGTTGCACTGAGTGGCAGCTCAGCAGATGCACAGCTACAACAGATGTTTGCTAATTGCTACTGGCTAGTCTGAAGGAGCTGAGAGTGGGCGTGGCAGAAGCCTGGAAGCTGCAGCTTTACAGGAGGAGTTGTGTCTTGAAGTGAGAGTTGGGTCCAATCAGGCGTTTTCCATAGCTGAATGGTTGCCATGCATTAAAGAGTGAAGACAACACTCCACGTCCGTTTTTGATGATGGAATAACATCTTAAATGTGGCGTGAAGCTTTAAAAAGTTGATTTTACATAATGCTGCCCCTTTGACTAACAGTCTGCGATTTGAAGCAAGGTTTGAAGCAGACATAAAAATTGCTCTAACAGTAAAAATGCAAAAAAGGAAAACATTCTCAAATATCAGGACTGTCAATGTTACCGCATGCAATTAAGCTAAAAAAAAAACAAACATTACGCGTTAACGTTACATAATGTGTAATGACATCATGTAATGTTTACCGGTTTTCCTAATTGTTGACTGTGCTGTGTCTTCTGGCTTTGTGTTGTTGTGGTGTAAAGCACTTTGAACTGCCTTGTCGTTGAAACGTTCGTACAAATAAACTTGATTTATCGCCTCACCTGCTTTGACCTAAACGCCTGCGGAGGGTCACTCAGTTTACAGCAGCGCATTACAACAACGCAGAGACGCGTCTAGGAGAGGCAACATTTAACTTCTACTGCCAAAAACAAGTAAAAAAACAACAATATTGTTAATTTTACTGACAGAATACTCTTTATTATTTATATTTAAAAAATTGTTTATCCATTTGTGCATTCTTATTGATCAGGGGTTTGGAATTGTCTTTTTAAATGATGAGGTGTATCTGAAAGATGAGCCTCTGCATTAAAACTTGCTGTTAAATTCACTTTATTCTGGTTGAGCACACTTACTGCTCCACTGTGCTAAATGCTGAATGCCACACCTGACAATGCAGCCATCAGCCATCTGCCATCGCTCCTGCTGTGCTGTGTGCTTTTAATTACCCAGCTGATTGGATTAGGCCCTTCCCTACGCTGACATGTCCCCTCCACTTAATAGGATGTTATCGACAAAACCGGCACTTCCCCGTGAAGTCTGATTTTGTCAGAGCGGCTTTTTCCCTGTTGTCTGGAGTGGAGTTAAGTTGATGAAGTTCTGCTCCAATGGATTTCAGTTACATCCTGTTGCAGCAAGTCCAGGAGGAGGACAAAGTGGACTGTAATCCAATAAAACGTGTGGAATAGTGGATCCGGCAAAGTGTTTCTTTGGCCGACAGTGATTTGTTGCCAAAAACCGGTAACAACTTTCAAATAAAAGAAGTGCCAAAATAGCATCCCATCTTCTAAAGCTCAAAATAAATCAGAACATATGATAAACAAATCTAGTCGTCTTTTAGATTGTTAAACTGACTCCAGGTGATGAGATTTAGACAAAGCCATTTGAGCCGCGTGCCTGTGTGATCTAGTTCAGGTGATATTTATGTGTTTATAGCGCAGGGTGATGAAATATGATATGATGACGTACCTGCAGCTCACTTTGCAATCCAGCCAAAGCTCAGGTCAGATTATGAAGAGACAGTCTGGCTGCAGAAAACATCATGTAAACTGGGTGTGCAGCTCAGACTGGTTCATTTGGTGATAGTTCCTAAGCATTCAAATAAGATAAAACATGATCGTCACATTATTACACATTATATGACATTTTCCACCAAAGAGGTCTGCAGAATTTCCTGACATGTTTAATTTAATGAACAACAGCATCCTGTACAACTGTATTTCACCCTCAGCCCTCTGGGATTCATACATAAAATATTAGGAGCTCAACATTCATTTAAGCTGCAAAACAAGTAAAGTCTGCTGGTATCACTGTGGATATTTCTGTATTAGCTGCCGGAAGGCAGCAGGATCAAACATAACTGTGGCTGCTTTTCCGCTTTTAGACTGCTTTGAAGTGTGTGGAGACAACAGCTCTCAGTGTTGCTCCATCGACGGGTTCTGATCTGTTTTTGGCTTCGCGCATTTTAGATTGTAACAGATTTCTCTCATTAAATCAGTCTGTTGAAGTTTCGGGATCTTTTTGCGAGACCCTCGCCTGCATTTTGGCCAGAGCTAAAACGACTCAACTCGCGTTGCCTTCCGTCGCTCTGCAGCTTCATATTTTCTCAATCTACCCAAAAATGTAGGACACTTCCTTAAATTCTAATCACGACCTTTGCCCTTTTAAGTCCTATTTGTTACCTCTCCAAGTGAGTCTTGTTTATCTTTTTTTTTTTCCTCCCAGCAGATCAGACCGAAGCAATTAACCTGACCAGAAGATAAACTGGCACACGCTGAAGATTTAGGGCATGGAGCAGATTTGCCACTTACCAGCCCCAGCAATTAGGGAGGCTGAAAATATCCCCTGATTCGTTTCACTTTCTTAACAGTCAGAGGAGGATTTGCAGCAGAGGAGACTAACTGAGAAAGTGTTGGCTTCTGTCCACGAAGCCCAGAAGAATTGACACTCAGCTACCAACTACAGCAGTGTGGATTTACAAGCTTTTGGCAGGAGGCTTGAATTAATTTGAAGCCTTGCAGATGTGTATAATTTAGGACAACATAATTTAGAAACATTTGTGGTGTGTATAACTAGAACACAGCAAGGATGCAGTAGTTTTGTTCCCTATAAAAACAAACTAAATGGGGCAGATAGAGAGATATTCAATCAACAACTGCCTGCAATGAGAATAAGGAATGAGAATATTGAAATAGAAAACGCAGAAGTATTTATACAAACTGAGCCTTCTCAGATTTTGTCACAAATATGTTGAAGTGTTTTAATTTCTTTTTGCGTGGAACTAAAAGAACATGCACTATTCAGTTTTTTCGCAAATAAAAGTTTGAAAAGTGTGGCATCCACACAGTGAGACAAATATATATTAAATATTGCAATGGTTTTTTCAGAAAATGTATTGAAATTCACTCCAGATGTTTGTTGCATCCTCGGTGCACAAAGGAACATTATCACAAATCCTTCCTCCCAACAGCATCACTGCTCCCGAAACAAGAAAAGCTTACATCAACGCAGTTATTTTAAGTTTTTATTTTATTTTAAATAATATCCCTAACATAGAATCACCCCAAAAATAACACAAAGAGCTGCAAATACTTCAAAACACTGTAATGAACAAATGGAAGAGCGTCTGAAGAGGGTAAAATCAGGGCGGATGAAACCTGCTGTTACTCTGCCGCTGCTCTCCCTCAATCCATCTTTAAATAGACGGTTTCTACAGATTAAATAGTTTTTTTTTTGTTATCCTGCTACTATCCAGTCGCACTCCACCCACCCTTTGCTTCTTGGGTCTTTCCAGTCGGAGGCCGCTCTATTATCTTTGCACCCATCTGTCACACGGATTTAGATGAATTCATGATGCTGAATGTCATTGTTATGACTCTGGCCTTTAATACTCCACCCTATTGCTTGAATCGGCTGGCATATTTGATATTTCATAATCTCATCACCCCACAGTCTCTATTTCACCTGAATAATCTCCAATGCTAATCTGCTGAACTGATTGAGGATTACGTCTTCTTTTTCCCCAAAGTGTTTCAAAAACACATTTTTCTTGTGAAAATAATAGTCCAATTAAAGAGATTATAGACGATGATGTCGTCAAATGCCATTTCTGGGTTGACTTTAAGAACATTTGCAGCTTGATCTTCGGCCCCAGGGGTCTTTGCATATTCACATTTGTGCACATGCACACACAAACCGTCCGGGGGGAGGAAGTCTGCCAATCCCCTCTGACAGATGACCCCGTCGTTGCCTTTGCAACATCTGCAACTTAGTCCTTGCTGTCATTAAGCCCCAGCCGAGCTTTAAGAAAGAAGCCCTGACGCGGACGATTACAGAGCGACTGAATGAATGTGATGGAGATCAGCGAGTCCAACTCAACGTGTTGAGGGAAAGTTCTTGAGCTTCAGCTGAATCTGTGGGAGGAGCTCTGGCGGGATCCGCAGGGAAAGTTCACACATGAAGGGAGCGGACGTTTGAAATATTAGGCTGTGAATGCAACCAAGCTGAATGGTGTTGAATCTTTGTTTGAACGTTCTCGAATGAAAATGATCCTCTTGAGACCTTTTAAGGACTTCACTTTGAAGATCTCTGTGATTCGGGCGAATGTGACCTTCAGGACTGAGGGCTGAAATACTTCGTGGGAAACGAGCAGACAGAGGCGTTTTTAATCCTCACTGTGGATTGTTTTAAGACGTGAGCCTGGACAGCAAGGTAGGACCAGAAACAATAGAAAAAAACCTCTGGATCTGCAGCCATGCAGGGGTTCGGAACAGGATTAGGGCCACTGCAAAGAAATAATTCAGATTATTTTTTTCTGAATTCAGACTTAAATTGCAGGATTTTGACATTATTTCTTAAAATTCTCATGGTTTTTTTTTTACCAGAATGCTGATTTAAATCTCAGAAGTAAAGTTTCTGAGATTAAAGAATTCTTCAATCTCAGAATACACATTTAAATCGCAGAATTCTGACTTTTCCTCAGAACCTGTTTCTTTTTCTCAGGATGCTGATTTTAATCTCAGAATTAGTCAGAATTCTGAGATTTTTTCATCTCAGAACTTTAGACATTTTTCTCTGAATTCTCACGTTTCTTTCCTCAGAATTCTGACTTTAATCTCAGAAACAAAGTCAGAATTATGAAATTAAAGGATTCTTTAATCACAATATCCACTTTATTGGCAGAATTTTTACTTTAATTTCAGAATTATGACTTTCATCTTCTGAGATTAAAAGTCAGAATTTAGAGAAATAGTAAAAAAAGAAAAAATTTTCTCAGTGGCCCTAATCTGCTTGCATACAAAGTGAGGCGCGGAGATTTGAAAGGTGAAAACGATCTCTGCTCACTAAGCTTCAACTTGCTGCTACCATCTGTTTGAACTCTTTTTACCTTCTTGTTTGTTTTGTCTAATCCGTTCTTCTGTTCGAATCTTAAAAGCATCTCTTCCCCATGGAGCATTCCCCGTCAATGAACTCAACGGTGGTGGATGGAGACGAGCTGGAGGACCACAGGCCCCTCCTGCCACCAAGGATCGTCGCCCCACCTCAAGCCTACTCGCCCCAATGTGGGATCCACCACACAGTCCAGACACCGATCGACCACACCGCATGGCTGGACAGAACCCAGGCCCTGGCTACCACGCCTTTGTACAACGGCCACCTCTACGTCACTGCGACGCCTCGATCCAACAGGAGGAGAGACAAAACCAAGGGCAAAGAGAAACGGCCGCAAAATCCAGGCGTGAAGGAGCGCAATCACCAGAGCAAAACTAAAACTCTGAGCGCAAACAGACTCCAGGAGACGGTGACGTCCTTCACCGACGTGCCCGTGTCCCCCTGCGGATCGCCCTTCAAGGGCCACAGCAGGTCCAACCTGGATCTCAGGGATGTTGACGGTCGAGGGTACCGCAAGCCAGGCAATGTTTCTCTGGAGATGCACGACCGCCAGAGCCTCCCAGAGATCATCATCACCAGCAAGGACGACAACCCCCAACAACAGCAGCACAAACACAAGGCGCTGCAGTATCACCAGCACCCGGGGGAGGCCAAGGGGCCGCTGCCAGGGGCCAGGCGCTTCACCAGGAGCCCCAGTCCTCAGTGTAGCCCCAAACGCAAGGAAGACGCCAAGGACTCGTACTCGCGGACGCACAACATCGGCTGGCGGCTGGTCCGCAGGAGGGCCCTGTTCCTGAGGAGGCAGCGGCTGAATGACTGTGCCCTGGCAGTGGGGCTGTTCGGGGTATTCATGATGGTGATGGAGACGGAGCTTTCCTGGAGCATCTACAGCAAGGTCAGAGGGCAAAGAGTCCTGCAACAAATCACACTGCACAGCTGCACCTTTAATATGTCATCATGATGTTATAAACAACAGAAAAATGCTATTTTATATACATTTACACAAGATTGAAGCCGTTTCCTCATTTTTATATCCCTAAAATATTTGTATTTATCACCATGTACATATATTACATACAAAAAAGTTCAATAAACTCCCAGCTTTATGTTTCATGGAGTTAATTTTAGGGTGCAGAAAACGCATAAAAGATAATTCATGGTAAACACTGCAAAAATACCAAATCTTACAAATAATCTATGACTAGTTTTACGTATTACACTTGAAATACGATTTGCAATTAATGCAAATATATATATAAAGTTCTGAGATGAAGTTGCTTTTATTCAGTTGTTCTGATTTTGTTTCTTGAAATAGATTTAAATAAGCTTCAGATAGAATGTGAATAATTCTCCATGTGCTGCTTCTCCCGCAGAGCTCCATCTACTCGCTGTGTTTCAAGTCAGTCATCAGTTTTTCTACGCTCATCCTGTTCGGCCTCATCGTGGCGTACCACTGCTGTGAGGTGCAGGTGACCCAACTGTTCATTCTTACGTAACCGGAAATGATCCCCAATGTGTCTCTTAAGATCTCTGAAATTAAAGAGTCCAACCGTTTGCCTGGAACATTTAAAACGTTTCTTATCTGTTGGAAAGCTCCTTCTTAAATTGTTTAAAATAAACGTTTCAGAGTTGTGTATGGGAATATGTTTGATCAAACTCAACGCCTCGGCCTCAGAGGAGAGCGTTTTATAACCTGCTTTCTGATTTCTCAATCACTGCTGACCTGGTTTAGCACCGTGAGCAGTGCTGCAGGAAAGCAGGGCAATATTTGAGGACGAAACCGAAAATATTGCCCTGCAATATTTACGGTTGCAGGGCAACTTTAAATAAGGACTAAACCTTATTTAGTCCTTATTGTTTGGAAGTTTAGTTTAGTCCTTATGGAAGGACTAAACCTTAAATATTGTTTTTCTCCCATCTTGAATTAATTTTCTCAGGAAGCTGGAGTTTAATTATATATAAGGTAGATTAATATGGTAAAAATCACCAATTAAATACCCTTCTCCAAACAAGTAAAAATATAAAAAGCAAGATGTCTTTCTCTTGTTATAAGTAAATAAATCTGCTAATGGAATGAACATATTTTGTGTCAATAGTATTATGATTTTTTTTTTTACTAAAAGCAAGCTCCTACATCTTGCTGATAAGTTACTTATCAGTTAGTTTGGTCTTATTTTAAGAGTACTAAGATATTTGCACAAGAAACTAAATTGTTCAGACTTTGTGTTTCTGCAGTGAATGTTGCAGACTGGGGTGTCTTGAGGTGCAAATATTGTAAAAAATCAGCTAAGGAGTAGCATACTTTGAGAAGTGCTCCTCAAATTATTCTAGTTTGTTTTGCACAAACATTTTTAAATAGATAAAACTGATACGTCCCAAATCTGGTAACTGCATTCTTATAAAGACATAGAAGAAGAAAGGAATATGTTTAGTTATGGGGACAACATGGGAAAAAAGTGGATCGTCCTCAGGTTAAATAATGGCCCCAATAGGTTTTATGTGTAGAATAATAGAAACTGCTTCAGAACAACTCTGGGTAAAAACTGGGATATGTTGAATTGATCGATAATTTAAAGTCCCGATTAGTATACTTCCAGGCTAGCAAAATTTATCTAGGACCCACATGCACATACTTGTTGGGATTCATATTCTCTCTGGACTGGGACCAGTAAATTTCAGAAAGAATACTGGCTGCCCAGTAATAAAATAAAAACTATTTACCACTAATCTGACCTTTACATGAATGTTTTGCTGCCATCAATACAAACTAGACATAAAGATTTTGTGTAGACTAAAACTAAATCCAACTCTGGATAGAATTGGAATTGCTTCAGCTTCATAATGTCTTCTCTTCCTTGTGACAGCTCTACGTTCATGACATTGGTGCAGAGGACTGGAGGATAGCCATGACCACCGACCGCTTCGCCCTGATCGTCTTGGAGCTCTTCATAGTGGCCATCCATCCTTATCCGGTGGGAATGCTGGCATACTTCCAGAAGACCAAAGTCCGCACAACCCTGTCTGAGACCGAGCTGGAGATCATGCTGGCTCTGCCCATGTTTCTGAGACTGTACCTGCTGGGTCGGGCCATGATGCTGCACAGCCGCCTCTTCACGGACACGGCCTCCCGAAGCATCGGAGCGCTGAACAAGGTGGGGGTGTAACTCCTCGACAAGCTCTCTGTAATCGGGCCTGACTGAACCGCGCGAATTTGAAAGTCTGACTTGTGTAAATTGAACCAAGAAGACAAATTCAAGACTCAAGTTTAATTTTATACAGAGTACAGGTTGAAAACGACCTGTTTAGGATATGATTTATGAAATTTGGAGTCTGTTTTGGACAATGAGCTGCCCTTCAGTTTTGCACATTTCATCCTCCTCTGTTTATATCTTGTTGTGTCCAGGTGGGCCGAGAGGTCTGTAAAAGTGTGACGCTTGAGGTGTGACTAACAGTTTCACTTTCACGAACCCTCCTGGTTTCAGCCATGTCCCTCACTGACTCCTCTATGTGCCCGCTTTCATTTCCATATCTCAACATGTCCTCCTGGCTAATCCCTCCCTTATAACTGCAGTATAAAAGTGATGAAAATGACGTCTGCATCCCTCCCTCCTCTGCAAAACCAAACCTACTGTCCATGTATCGAGCCAGATTGCAAACAAGTTTTCTTATCCTTCATCTCCTCTGTGTTATGTAAGGATTATCTGACAGGTGCTATTCTAAATAGTCTGGCTAAGTAGTGCTCCTGTGTCAAAATGATGACGTAATGAGTGGATTGTTTTTAATCGCCAGATCCACTTCAACACCCGCTTCGTGGGGAAAACGTTGATGACGACCTATCCTGGCACGGTCCTGATGATTTTCAGTGTTTCTCTGTGGATCGTGGCGGCGTGGGGCCTGCATGTGTGCGAGAGGTATGTGTGTGGAGAGCGTTCCTTTAGGTATTGTCAAGGAGTTTCAAAATGTATAAATAGTTTCCTAACTTTATCAACAACACTGGCTAGAGGACATAAACACGCTGATGTATAGAAGGACTTATGAATGTATTGTAATTTGCATTGGTGAAATAATTTGTCCTCAGTGAAAAGGGGGCCAAAACTGGTAGCAGCCCAGGGGCCACGTTCCTGTAAAGTCCGGTCCTGGGTGGGGTGCATATCGATGCGCCACTATTTAAACGTTTTTTATGACCGCTTGTGGTTTGTAGGAAACGGAAAAATGACTTCAAACCTAACACAGTGAAACACTAGTAAGGCTTGACACCGTGACGTCAGAATGGAGACATTACCAATCGATCCCAGATCAGGCGCACGAGATGATTGCTGATTTTTGGATCACAATTTCTTTGAATAAAATGTCTCAAACATTAATGCATGAAACATTTTAACTTTACAATAATTTTCTGTCTGTATTTATATTTGGGGGTTTTTTTTTGCTTACATAAACTAACATAAATTAGTATTTATTTTTAATTTCTGTTTGCCATTTTTATGTTGAGGCAGCAGGGGGCGATGTCGGCAGCTACTAAAAGTAACTGAAAGACTTGTAATCTATCTTAGTTACTATTAAATCATTTTATTTAATTATTTAAAATCAAATCATCAGTAAAGTAACTACTAATTGCTCATTTTAAGGGGTAATCAGTAGTCAAGTTACTTTTTTAAAGTAACTATGCCATCACTGGGTTGACAGGGGGAAGGAAATTGTCTTGTTTGTCCCTCCAGGCACCACAATTACAGAGACCTCAGCAGCAACTACATGGAGGCCCTGTGGATGGTCTCCGTCACCTTCCTGTCCATCGGTTACGGAGACGTGGTCCCTCACACCTACTGCGGCCGCAGCATCTGCCTCCTCACTGGGATCATGGTGAGACGGAGGCGGGGAGTTCGATCCGCCGTCAAGTCCAGTCCCATCAAACCCTCAATGCTGGTTTCTCAACAGGGGGCGGGATGCACGGTCCTGGTGGTGGCGGTGGTGGCCAGGAAGCTGGAGTTGACCCGAGCTGAGAAGCACGTCCACAACTTCATGATGGACTCTCACATCTCCAAGAGGGTGAATACTAACAATTACAGCTGCAACAGAACTATTATTTTAGTTGTCAAAATTGGCACATTCTACATATTTTTCATTTATCTCTTGAACCTTTTATATGTAATATTCAAACTTTCATCCTCTGAAATGGGCCTGGTGCATTTCTGGGTTTAAACCATTAAATCCGAATGATTCTTGTTGCTGAAGATTTAGAAAATAGAAGTTTTTAAATCTTAACTTGATATGAGCTTCAGGAATCAGACAAGACAAACATTTCTCTGCAGAGAAGAAGAGGAGTCATTGTTTATTTTCCATCAAAAATATCTATTTTAGTTCATGGTAGCCTACTGAAATTGCTCTGAGTATAATTTCAAGTATTTCCAGCGATAGTATGTGAAATTATTTTGATAATATTTTCTTTCATTAAACCGTATCTTTTGAAAGATAGTGTAATAGTGTAAAATCCTTTTGATTTTATGCTATAAAATTGTATTTGTGTGCTGATGTTTTTTTATAAATATAAACTGACTTTCTTGGACTAAATGTAAAAAATATGTTTTTTCCTCTTGTGGAATGATGAAAGGGTATAAAAATTAGTTGGATCAAACATTTGTTTGCTATATAAATTAGGGCTAAAATTTTAAATGAAATAATTTATTTTATTACATTTTTATGCTTGTGTTTTTTTTTTGTAGGTGTAAACTCTGACTGTGTTGAACTGCGAGTGAAAAAATATATTGTTTTCTTTATTGCAATGCAGAAAATGTTGCAGGTTAAAATAATTTTTTACTCTCTACATAAAAATCCCATCTAAATATTAAAATAAACACTCTAATTCCTTTGTTAAAAATTAGAAAATAAAAAATGTTATTGCCTAAAAGACAATAAAATGTGAATTTGAACCAGCAGAAGCTAAAAACTGGCACTTTAGGTTTTCATATTAAGTGCAAAATTTAAGTTTTGGCTTAATTACTGCTCTGGATGTGTTGTTAGGGTTTTTGTTTTAGCATTTTTTGAGTCTGTATATTCCAGCTTTTATCAACTATTATATTAGTGGATGATTATTTCAACAATCGATTCAACAATTCCAAGTAATTGTTTCAGCCCAATTATTAACAAATACGTTTTAGCTTTTTCAACATTTTTAATAAAGCTTGAAATGAAAAATGTTGAAAAAATGTGCAACTGGGGAAAAATGTTTGTGCAGGTTAGTGAGAATCCAACGGAAAGGGATTCAGAAAGACGAAGACGCCAACCTGGAGGATTTATTTACAACCTATTTTCAATATGAAAGTCAATAATAAGTCTAAACGACTTGTGTGGCTCTCAGTAATATATACTGTTTGTTGGTGTTAGTCAGCACATCCCGTAAAAACAGCACTTAGAGGTTATGTGCATAAACGCGCAATAACTCCTCGTGATTTTCTGCGCCCTTTCACCAGATAAAAATTGCAGCAGCAAATGTGCTGAGAGAGACTTGGCTCATCTACAAGCACACTAAGCTGTCAAGAGAAAGAGACCACACCAGAGTCCGCATGCACCAGAGGAAGCTGCTGCTGGCCATCCACCAGTAAGACCACAGGAACCTGCCGCCTTTGGAGTTCGGTTTCCATTTATCATCCGATCCCACAGAGCAGAATCAGTGGCTTATGGGATATCATTTCCAGTATTTTCCATTATTTTTTTTTGTTTCGTTTTTTGTTTCATCTCTATAAACTTAGTATCAGTAAATTCTAAAGCACAAAATTCTGATTTAATTTGGAATTTAAATACATTTCAGTGTTACTCTATTTCCACGACAGAGATTACATGTGTTTGCTGTTTTACCTGCTACATTTCATTTCAAAGTACATTAAGTTTTATTTAAACATCTTTATTTGCTGGTGATTAGTAGACGTGAGCTTGACACAGAAGGTACAACTACAGTTAAACTCTTAAGAAGGAAATCTTTCATTTTGATGGAATTTATGTGGAAATCAGTGATTGATATTTAAATGATTCAACTTTAAAAGAGAACATATTTAACTTGAAGTTACACAATAGCACTGGTTTCTAGTGCAAATATCTTAGAAATAAGATAACACTAACTTACAAGTAACTTTTCAGCAAGAAATAGCAGTTTTTTTTTTCAAAGTTAATAATTCTTTAATGTTGATTTTTATTTTTTTGAAGAAGTTCTCGCTCCACTGGCAGATTATTTTACTTATACCAATCATTTTTTCCTCCTGTTTTCCCTTCAAAATGAGAAAAAATTCAAAATCCTTCGTCTTTTTCCCACCTTCCGATCCTCCAATCATGGAAATAAAATCCCTTGAATCTTGCTGGGGACAAAGTGACAAAACCTAAAAGTATTCAGACATTTTGAATAATTTTTCAAGCGATTCCTCCAGACTTACAGCTGGATTTATGACTGTCTCGCCACCTTCAGGTTACGCAGAGTGAAGATGGAGAAGCGGATCCTTGCGGATCAGGGGAACACGCTCGTTGACCTCTGCAAGGTGAGAGAGGCAAGTGAAAGCATCATGTGCAGTTGCACCTAAAATTATTCAAAAATGTAGGTTTATGAGCAAAATATAGAAGCATTCAAGGTGTTTGCAATAAACAAATCAAACGAAATCCAGTTGGTTCTCTAAACTCAACCCAAAGTGCCTCAAATGCAGACTCAAAATTATGCGGCGTCTTCACTTCTTACGAGAGTTTGCTTTTGCTCTTTTGACCAAGACCTCAGCTTTGTTCAGCAAAGTGGTGGATTTCTTCAGAGGAGATTTCACAGATTACCTGTTTCATATTAGTATAGTATTTTAATCTGACAAACGAGTCTCCTCTAATTCACGGAACATGACTGCTTGAATACGTTTACAGCAAGCACCTGAACAAATGCAAATTTTGCCAATAAACCACATTTTTCTACATTGAAGATCGAATAGTTTTAGCTGCAACCGTAACTCCCTCAAAAACAAATCCTCGATCGAGCGTTGGTGTAATTCCTCCACCAAACTGGCGTGCAGATGCAGAGCCTGATGTACGACATGCTGGCGGAGGTGCAGGGCTGCAGGGGGGAGCTGAACTCGCACATCAGCAGCCTGGTGAAGAACGTGGAGGAGCTGAGGGAGGGCTTCAGGTGCCTGATGCCGCTGCTGTCCAGCACGCTGTCCACGCAGAACTCCTCCATCCGCCACCTGCTGAGGGAGAGGGAGGAGCAGAGCGAGTGTGTGAGCGGAGCAGAGGGGTAGAGGGCGCAGTGGGGAGGAGAAGAACTCGGTTTCAGGAGGTTTCTATTGAAAATTGAGCTATGGCGGCCATGTTGGGGCAGATTTCCTGACTCAGGTGTTGGACAGGTTTGTATTGATGTACATACAACTCTATGTAAAACATTATATGTAGCAGAAATACAGACATATGTAGAAATTTGTCCCAGCTCACTTCTTCTGAAGGCATTTCTCCTGGACTGACACAAAACGTTTCACTGATTTTAAACTAGATTTGCAAACAAACGCGTCTGACGCTTCAAGTTCGACGCGTGTGCACTTTGGTGCGTTCACACCAAACGCGTTTTGAGCATCAGGCGCATCTGGTTTACATTCAAAATCGATGTGGAGCATCGGACGCTTCGGATGCATTCAGGTCGAATGAATGTATTTGAATCAGATAAGTAGCGGACGCCCAAGTTCACATTCGAAATGAATCCGACTCGTGTTGTTCAGACTGTCATGAAAAGATCAGATGCAGTTCGGATTACGTCAAAAATAAATAAATAAATGTGGAATTGGGTCACTTCAGGCTGCAGTGTGAACGCAGCCAAAGTTGAACGTAAACCAGATACGCCTGACGCTCAAAACGTATTTGGTGTGAACGCAACGTTACAGATTTAAAGTTGATCCTAATCAAGTCAAATTTTACAGTTGACCTGATGCAATGTAATTGACACCTTATGGATTATTTTCTTCAGGTTATTTAATTGTTCTTAAGCATCTGCTTTGTTTTGTTTTCTTTTAAGGAACTGTTATTCTGTAAAAACTGCATTTTTCTGACCGTGAAATAAACACTTCATACATTTTAAGTGTTTGGTATTGTGTTAATAGCATGCAACATATTTTACTTTGACAAGATCAAATTTAGATATTTTTATGTCTGTTTAAGTAACATTCTATAAATTTCAGTAGAATGGATTCGCCTTTTTGGATTGTTTCTAAAATTATAAAGCAACACTTTTGTGAATGTTTCCAAAACTGTTCTGATGATTTGTAAAAGACATTGTTCAGTTTTCAGAGCAGCTTTGCTGGAATAAATTTGAAAATCATCTAGCAGTTAATTTGTTGCACAACTTCAAACAGTTGGCTTTACCCAAAATTCAGTCCTTCGGAAAATGAAAAAATATCAGATATTTGCAGAAACTGAAATTGTCAAAATAACAAAACAGATGCAGTGCTTTTAGACCTCAAATAATACAAAGTTCATATTCATTTATAAACAATAATACCGACGTTTTAACTCCAGAACAGTTAAAATTTGGTGGAATAACAGTGCGGTTCACTGCAGTGGTTTAATTTCTTTTAGAGATATTTTTACCATTCAGCCTAAATTTCTGCATTTAAATTATTTCCAATGCCAAAGTTTCAGTAAAGCTGAACTCCTGACACTGTGTAGTCAATACTAGTCACTTTAGATAATAATGATGCTAACTTAGACCAAATTTTAAACAAATAACACTTTAAGGGGTGTTCATAAGACTGACATGACAGCATCATAACTATGGAGTTTTTATGTTTATTGTCATCAGTAGGTCAATGACACTTTTAAGGTACCTTTTTTAAAAGTGTCATAATTACCAAATGACAGTAACTGTCAAACATTCATGTTCATTGCAGCATCGTGTCAGTCTTGTGTACATCCCTCCAAGTGTTTCAAAAAATAGCTTTACCAAATAGAGCTTTATTTTACAGGATATGAATTAATAAATACAGTAAAGTTGGAATGCAGTAAGAACCACACAGGGATTTCTTGCTTTAGCCAAAACAACATTTTATTAAGAGAGACGGGGTTGGAGGGTGGAGTTACAGCAACAACCAATTGGTCAACATGAACAGTGGAAACGTGCGTCCCCTGTCTTCTTCTTCTTCCTCTTGATTCAAGTCGGGACCACAGGTTCCGCCGTTGCAGTCGTCCCGGAGGCAGGAGACGCTAATATCAACCGGTCCAGCCCCTCCTCTCCCCTCCAGCTTCAGGGAGAACAGTTAGTGCTGCTTCCTCCTGAATGAGCACCCTGCCGGAGGAAACGACACGTTAGCCCATCGCTGACAAAAGAGGAGCCTCACAGAGCAGAAATACTGCCGACTGGGCACAGCTATTGTATGGCGTAGAGCTGCAGATCAGGACCAATCCTGGAATATTTCAAAGTCTACAAAGTTACATTTGGTTTGTCCTCAGCTTTCGAAAGGGGGGAGCCATGGTTGGAGCTCAACCCTTCTGCAAACTGAGGTTAATCTGGCACTGGAATGAGATTGGAAAACCACGATGGAGGAAGTCCAGTCACTTAGCAGTGCGGGAAAATGGGGCAAATAATCCTTGGCAAACTCTTCATAGCAATTGAAATTTACACAAAAATGTAAAAATAATTTAGTACAACAGACAATGTTTTTGACAACTCAAGTCTTTGTTATTTTAAAATATGGGGGCTTTGCAAACAGATGTAAAACCAGAGGACCACATAAGAATTTTGAGATATGGTGAAGGATGTCAAATGTGGAAAAAAAAATATATGGTAATGTTTTGAGAAATGTTTTAATCAAAGCTTCACCAAAATGTGCAGAAAGATTAAAGTTTACAAATCAACACCCTACATAAACGCTATTTTACTGAGCACTTACACAGGACTAGCACCGTTTCTAACTTATGGATCTCTAGGTACTTAAATCAGCTGCTTCAGAATCTAAACCACCAAAGAGTTTTAAAACTTTACTAAAAGTGGGTTCTTTAAAGCCTGTGACCTTTGGTATCGTTTCTAAATCTAAAAGAAAACATCCCAGCAGCTTCAAAGCTTTGTTTGCTGGTATCTAGTTTAAGAATCCAAGTGCAACATAAATATTTCAATGCCGGCTCCAATTCTGCCCCTTGTAATTAACGTAAAGACAAGAACTAGTTTGAGACTTGCATACCACATTTTTAATGGAGGTTTGTGTGCAGATTACTGACCCTCTGTGAGACGTGCTTTGCCTCCAGTTGGCTGACACAGGACTGTTGAACAGCCCACACACAGCACGACTGTCTGAGCATGGCTGAACACCGTCGTGATCTTGTAGCATCCTGCAGGAAGAGAAGTACAAAACGCTCGAGTTTTACGAACCCAATTTTAATTGCATCAACAAAAAGATGTGCAAAAAACGCACATACCTGGACATTTGACATCCATAAAGTAAGAGTTGGGACTCTGGACGAGACGCTTCTTTTTGTGCCTCCTCTTCTCCTCCTCAGGGGATGGGTGCAACAAGTCTTTTGCGAGCTAAATTACAAAAGGAGGAAATTAGATAGACGTCACTAAACGTGACCAGCGACATAAAACGAGACAACTTAAAAGCAGGGAGTCAAAAAATCAAAAGTAGCTTTTGTAAAAATGTAAGTTATGAGTGACTCAGTGCATATTGACAGAATTATTTGGCTAAAAATGAGGTCGACATGCATCTGGCTCAGCTTTAGCATCGCTGCGTTGGCCCGCTCGGGCCCACATCTTGGCCTACCTCCCCTACATTAGATAACACTCTACGTATTTATCGCAAATCAATGTTTACATAACTACAAACCGGCGTTTAGGTGACTCTAGACCTTATTATCGAGATTAAACTACGGCAATTATCATCCGGTGCCTGTATTCAGCTTCTTCGATAAACTGGCTCCATGTTTGCGGTGTGCGCGCAGCCATCTTGTCTCACAACGCGCTCGAAATGGGTCTGAAAAATGATTAAAAACCAGCATCTTCGACGGGATTAAACCGGCTCAAAGTGGCACGAAACAAAGCAGTAATTTCTTTTGAAACTGTTCAGCCCTGTACTATGTCTCTAATAATCGATTTGAAGCATAGATGACGGATTTCACCCGCCTCCTGATACTCACTGGCATGTTGGCGAGTAAATAGCCGCTGCCGAAAAGGAGGAATCACCGGAAGCGAGAGGTTCATATTGGTGGTTCGCCTGAGCCCAGCCCGGACATGACGACATTGTAGCGACATGGCGGCCATATTGGTAAGGTCAAAAAACATCTTTTAACAGCTCTTAAATTATTTACTGAAAATTTTGTAAGTAGAATTACAATTCAGAAGAAGTTTTTAGTGGTTATTTAAACTTACCACTCATTGGATCCAGGTATGAAGTTTTTTTATTGATTAAAATAAGGATAATATTAAGAGCATAAGAATTAATAATTTGAGTCGCGTTGTTTTCTTTCCTTTAGATCTCCAGTTACAAGTTCAATTCATCCAAAAACAATAAAAAATACATTGTTATTTATAAAATAACACATACATTTTATTTACAATAGTACTTGGATATTTACTCAAATATTAAAAGTTATTTCAAATTGGACAGGGAATGTGTAAATTCCTCAAATATTCTAATTCTAATGTATTTCATGTGGTATTTGTGCTTGTATTTGAGTTGTGAAAAACTCTCATTACTCAAGCTGTTGTTTAGATACATTTAAAATGTGATTGTCATTCTTGTCTGATTGTTTTGTAATTGATTTCTGTACTGATATTATCCCAGAGAATTTGTGTTCTTTCACCTGACTGCAAGAAAAATTTCACTACAGATTTTGAATTGTTCTAAATAGTTCAAAGTTACTGCTCAAAGACCTTTCCCAGAATAAAATGTTTAATCTTTCTTCCTCATCTTTTGAACTGTGAAAAGAAACTTGGAGAAAAGTAGTAAGTAACATTTATATCTTTATCAGATTTGCTGAGCACTATGTTTCCTTCGCCTCCTCTTCCGTTGGTCCAGAGTTCTGTTCGACCAGAGGATCTGCCAGGGCCTTCATTTCTTTTATCTTTACGTAACACTCAGCGTCTGCAGGGAAGAGGTTTCTCTGTGCATGAGAGAAAGAGATCTAAATCATAACAAATACATATTCATTAGGTGTCAGATGTGAATGTGGGTTGCTAAAATAAAGATAAATTGTGAGAATTAAGTCGGACGCTGCAGCTAAAAAATCTGAAACAACAAAAACAATCCACTGGAATATATAGAAATTAAAATGGATGTGGTTCCAAGAGCAGGAAGACTTTTAGACATATGAATTACATTAAAGAAGTTAAGTGACAAAACATTACTACTTAATTCATTTAAAAAATTTTAAATACCTAAAACTAAAATATAAAATATTAAGGTGATTAATTAAACTAAATTGCTTGGCTTTCCAGTACATACTACCTGATGCAGTGAAGCATATATTTTAGAAAATAATGTCCTAAAATTGCAAATGAAGGTGAAACAAATTATTCCATAATTTTACTGAGAAACACTCAAAAAAAGAGTAGATGTTGGACCTCAGTCATTTTGTCTCTTCACAACTTTGTACCTCAATTTTACAACCACAAGATGTAAAGTATTTTGGGAAAAGTTGATTTAATATTGATGAAATATTCATACATCATAAAAGATCATTCAAATACAGTTTAATTAACTTGTATGCTAATTAATCAGTTGTAATATAATTCCAACTGACTGGAAGAGCAAAGATAAACAAAAACAAATTTTGTGTACAACTGCAAAATCTAGGCCGAAAGAAACAATTACCCACATTGAAAATAACCAATTTAAAGAAAGTTTCCATTTTCTTTAGCACTGTTTTGTAAAATAAAAAAGTGTAGCAGCTGTCAGAACTGTTACCTTTCAGCTATAAGTGTCTGTGCATGTTCTCACAGTGCATAGCTGTTTCTCCGGGTACTCCAGCTTCCTCCCACAGTCCAAATATAGCCATGTTAGGTTCAGTGTGTGTGTGTGTGTGTGTGTGTGTGTGTGTATGTCCCCGAGTTGACCAGCTTAAGCGTGTGTTCCTCCTCAGTCTTTGGAGAAATGTTTGGAAATGTAAAATTTACCACTGAGCTATGTTTAGTTGCTCTGTTGAGATTTATACACAGGCAAACACAGAGTCGGCCCTTCAAATAGATGTAAAACAAACCTGCAGTACGAGACGCTGCAAGTTTCCTCCCACATCCTCCTGTCTTTCCAGAGCTGCCAGGAACAGAGGCAGAGATTTCTCTGTAATTTTGTTCCCTACACAAACAAATATAAATTTGTAAGGCATCAGAAATCCTTAGGATAGAGACTCAAAACATCCTAAAATTGCAAATGAAAGTGAAACAAATTAGTGAATACATTACTATATATAAAAATATTATTTTGTAAATACCGAATCATAAAATACATATTAAACACAAAGTAGGAGCTTAAAAAACTCTACATAAACGAACATTCAGATAATCAGAGTAAAACTGCTCTGTCTGCAAATATTAATAAATATGTTTGGATGTGAACATTTTTGTACCTGACCTGCGAGATTGAGCGAGGTGAGCGTTGTGTTTCCAGGCATGTAGAGAACGCCGTCCCTGCGATGCACAGACTGCATCAGTAGGGGGTTTCCTGTGTCCAGAGCTTCTCCCTGATTCTGAAGACAAAGACGGCATATTCAACTCAGATCCATTTGCTAAACTGTTGCTATTTCGAGATATTGCAACTGCCAAACCTCAGTCAGGATGGAACTTGATTTATCCTGCAAGGAAAAAGAAACAACGGTGTAGGAGAAAAATAACTTGTAAATTGTCATAATATGTTTAGATGCGGTGAAGTGTTTCAAGCACTTCTTGAGGAGATGACAACTTTTCTTTGCCTCCAGACTTCATAGTTCTGCTTTGAGGTCTCTTTCCGTCTGAGCCTGGGGAAGATTTGAAGACAGCTATGAGAAACCAAACAGTGCAGCTGAGGAACTGGTGAAATGTATCAGTGATGATTACCCCTCTTGACTTTGGTTTCGGTTGTCTTTTCATCTTTTTTTGCAGCTTTATTCTGATTAATATATTGGCAAAGGATTAGATGACTTTAAATTATGGTGGCTATGTGAACATTTGCTTTCAGTCTTATATCTATATATTACCTTTTTTTTGACCGCGCTCTTGGTGTCCCCTTTGCTTGAAGTGCTGTGTATGACAGAAAGATGGCCGCCAACAGTTTGCTCCAGATCCGCTCTGAGAGAAGACTGCAAGAAATGCAAAAAGCAGAGAATCAACACATCAGAAGGCCACAGAGGTTGGCTAGAGAATATTAGACAGCAAACGGCATCATGTAAGCCCGAGGAGCCCAGCAGAAAGGTCAGAGGTGAAGATATGGAGAAGATTAAAGCAAGTCTAGGTGTTGAGATACAATAAATTGATTGCAGCTTTCACAATTCACTGCTTTGGTGTAATATTAGTTGAGCTGTTATATTTCAAGTGCAAGGAAGAGTCGTATTCAGGAAACTACCATCTGCATTCAGATGAGGCTTGTTTGTTAGATTAAAAGTACCTTTTTCAAAATAACTACCTCCAAGCAGCTGTTGTAAATACTTCCTGTAAAGGTCATATTTTGGTATTAAACTGTTTTTTAATTGGTCTGACGTGTTAATCTAATCTTAAATGCAGTATTTTAAAGAAATTAATTATAATTTATTGAAAACATCCTTTGTAGAATTAATAGAGTGCTTTTCACTTATTGAGTTGAGTTAATGAAATACATGATTTTATAATAATTTTCATGTCAGTCTGTGACTGACATGAAAAGTCGAGAGAACCTGGATGCACATGTAGCATCCAGGTAAAAAGGAATGAGTAAATATTCCATTTTAAGATGTGCAAAACTGGTGAAAGCTTCAAAATATCTGCAGCTGTAATTGTAGAAATTGTGGCTCAACAAAGTACTGAATAATGGGGTTTGGTAAAAATGCGGAACACACTTTTCAGATTTTTTTCTGATGTTCTACCATAAAATGAAAATAAATTAAATTTTGCAGTTGTGGTAAAACTTCAGTTATTCAGTGAGCAACAATGTGTGCACTTCAATCGTAAGAAGCCTGAATATTTTAGAAATACAACTTTTTAAACAGCTCTTCCGATCAAAATTAATTCAGATGTTTAAAAATCCTAAAATTTTTCCATAAACAGAGAAATAAAAGATTAGATGGTTTTACAAAATGTAGTCATGTCAAAATCTCCAACCTGTATTTTGTGCAGCAGCATCCTTCTTCTTTCCACAATCTCCTTATGTTGTAGAGTTAACTCCCCGAGTGTCTAAAAATGGAAATGCTTAGCGCTGGAGGGTTATTGAATCGTGTAATATCTAATCCAGTAAGCCGAATATGATTAAGAACATCTTAACTGCGAGTTAAATGCATTATCTGGCATTTAAAGTCTTTAAGGTAAACAGATACCATAGCCAGACTGGTAGCTCCTGCGTCTCCGATGTTATTGTTGGCCAGCGATAGAATGACTAAAGTATTATTCAGCCTCAGGCCCTGGGAGGGAAAACAAGGTGGAAAACATATCAGCAGCTCTGATGGGAACATCCAGGGAGAACGTGGATCAGCACAAGATTATACCTGCGCAATATGCGCAGCACCTGCATCCCCAATATTGTTGAATGCCAGGTTGAGTGACAGGAGGTTCTTGTTAGCAGATTTACAGGTCGAGAGAGCCGAACCTATCAGACGAGCCCCCTCTTCTCCGATCCGATTATTCCGCAGTGACAAGTGGGTGAGGCTTGACCAAAGAGACGTGACGTGAATTTGGACAAATTTATGCAAAAGCACGGTTGTTAGTGGCTGGATCTCGTGTGTGTGACTCACTTGCTGTCTTCAGAGAGCAGAAGGTGGAAGCTATGCTGCAGAAGCGGATTACCCTCCAGTGTCACAGCTCTACCACAAGGCAGAGTTAACAAGCTGGATCAGTAATCCTGCATATTTCAGAGCAAATTCACTTGCAAATCCACAACTATTTCTGACTTGTCTCCTAGGAGCTGCAAATTAAAACAATGTTGCACAGTTTCGATGTCACCGAATGCTCTCACCTGAGGTTGGAGCCCAGAGACGTGTTTGCGAGGGAGATTACCATTGGATCTGACAGAGCAGCCTGCCAGAAGCTGCAGCACAGTGGACAACGTTACTAACAAACAACAAGCAGACAGC